ATAGATTTGAGGTTAAACACATGAGGAGTTTAGATTAGAATTTGAGAGAGCACAAAGAATGGATGTACCTGCACCATTGCAAACAATTTTGAGCCATGTTATTCATGGTCTCTAACCATCCGTTACTATCTTCTCGTGGACTCCAACCAGGTAGTCTGCACCTACCAACACGACTCCATCCACTTGTCAGTGACTTCATGGATTTGTGCAATGTTTTGGTTTGGTCGCCGCTAGCTTTTTTCCAACCGATAAATAAAGGAACCGTCCAATGACATGAATAAATGTCATTTGTTGAGTATGGACATCTCTAGTTTGTATTCAACAAAGATTTATCTCTCTTAGTGTATCACTGAAAATTATGGAAAGCTACTCAGCAGCGGTATGCACTCGCAACCATACCAACGAACTATAAGACTCGCAGTGAACACCTAACAATTAAAACAATCACATCAGCTTTCTCCAATGGCGACGAATTCAACTGACACGTACTAAACTTATTGTTAGGACATTTATTCATCACCAAATATCCTATGAAGAATCAATTTGTAAGTGTACATTCTATTGGTCGATTACTATTGGTCAATATTATGGTCGTCCTACGACCTGACTATCAATGTTACTCCAAATGTTTTTTCCTATTGGTCGCTTTAACTGTCAATGTTACAGACTTCGATGCTGTTTCCTATTCGACCTAAATGTATAAATACTCATTATCAGTAACGTTTTAGGGCCGGACTGGGACCCGGATTCATAGTCCGGGATTCTGATTCTCTTCTGAACTCGGAGCTCGTCCTTTCTGAATACTTGCAGAATACAGGTTCTACTTCATATCAAATCTTCTTCTTTCCCTGAATGGGGGTTAGGACATTCAGATTAGAGTAGCATGTCGTGTCACTGGATCCTCGATCCTCTCTCACGAATGAGCAACGCTGTTATTAGAAAACGGGTGCTAGGTAAGAGTGGCAGATGAATAGATGAAGTGCTGAAACTTTATCAGTTGAGATGGTTTGAACATGTGCTGCGTACGCCTAACCACCGATTGCCTCGACGAGCTTTGTTTTGTAGTGTAGGAATAGGTTGAAAGAAAGCTAGGGGCGGCCGAACCAAAAAATGGCAGAAATCCATGAAGTCATTTACAAGTGGACTGAGTCATGTCGGTAATTGTCGACTACCTGGTTGGGGTCCGCGAGATGATAATGATCTATGGCTAGAGACCCTGAATGACATGTCTCAAAATCGTTCGCAATGGTGCCAGTGCATTTATTCTTTGTGTTCTCTCAAATCCTAATCTTCTGGATTCTCCAACCTCTCTAGTTTTGACTTTCTAAACTTTTCTCACTGAATCATACTTCTTGAATAATAATATCTTCCAATCCTAACCTTTCCGATTACTTTTAATACCTTTACTACCTCTACAATTATTAGATTTGAATTGACAATTACATGCCTGTGCTGATGTGGTATGGCAACATGAACTGATGTACTTACGTACGAAGTTCTACGTTGCATCTGACTGACTGACTGACTGCTCTTGTCTTCCAACTAAGTAAGGTTAAACTCGTAAAATAGTTCAAGCCTATCAAAATGACATGTTTACGTGCATGTACACTTGCACACTGATCTACACAAAACCCCCTCCTAGTATTAGATGTGCAAACACAAACTAGTCGCTGCACCTAATCAATATCACTTTCTCTCCAAACTCATCCCGTTCGCTGTTAAATCCGATTTAGATAATATAAATCACTGTGGTGTTGTTTCGTTCTCTGAGCTGGTTGTTTTGGTTGTGGAGCTTTCATTGTTCTTCCTCTGAACAACATCATCAGCACAAACTTCGGATAGCAGAAGTGAAGCATTCGAATTTCTCCACGTTTGACTTGTAGCTTGTTCTGCTAACCTCGATCTTGATTGGTTGCTGTTGCCTTTTGACCTGTCGTTGTTTGCAACTTTGTTTTGATTGCACTCCCCCTTTTGATCTGTTTCTTGATCCTGTGTCACCACCTATGATTTTTCTGATTGGTTGATAAATTGGGTCAATGTCGAAGTGTTTGTTGATCGCTACAGGTCAAAAGTGGAGAAATTCGAATGCTTCACTTCTGCTATCTGAAGTTTGTGCTAACGAGGATGTTGTTCATAAGAAGAACACTGAAAGCTCTACAACCAAAACACCCAGCTCAGAGAACGAAACACCACCACAATCATCCACCTGAGCAACAAGTTTTCTCCACCATCTCAAAATATAAATCACTGAAATAATATAATCCAAGACACTTCAATCATTACAGTGAAAAGTAAGTATATTGTCAAACATTAGTCATCAATATTACACAATAATATATATATATATACATATACATATATCATTTTACAGACATGCATGATAGTAGTTAGTAGTGTGAGTACTAGTAGTATATATTGTTTGTTTTGTTTTCAATACAAATAGCAAAAAAAAGAAATTCAAATTCAAATCAAATAATCTCTGCATATACAAAAAAAAACTTGAAAAGATAAACAACAAGAAAGAAGGAGAAGGAGAAGTAGAAGAAAGTTATGAATTTTTCATTTTGGTATTTTTGAAATGATTATCGATTTTGAGTTATTATTGATTTTTACGCACCATCAATCGAAATTCATTGAGATCAAGCGGTTCTCTTTACAGCCACAAAATCGAGAACAACGTCAAGAGAAGTTGCTTGTTTTGTCTATGGCGTTGCGGTAGTTGTTCAGATATGTTGATCACTCAACTGCAAGATTTTTGCGTTGTCATTTGGTGATTTATAAAATAAAACTGGAGTAGTATGTAATTGATTAGTTTGTACTGTTGAATTGATATGTTCCTGGAGAAAAAAAAGAAAACATCTTTTCACATAAGTAAGTTACCTGAGTTGGCCTACTCTCTATGTGCATTTGCGAATTCAGCTGCTCCTACCTATGGAGATAGCTATATTGCGCGTACTACCTACCAGGCAACTTAATCAACGAATCAGTGAACATCTCCCAGGGTCAGTCATAAATAATACGCAGCTCGATCTTAGCACACCTGGTTGATAGTGGTCATATTGTAGATAAAAGTCTAGATCTTTTCGAGTGATCTATCGTATACCTCAATCATTTCCCAACGGAGCTCGATCCCGTCTACTACATTTATGTGTTCAGAAAAAATTCGTGACAGCCCAATCTATCCTGTGGCCGGATATGTATGACGTAACTAACGATTTAAGATTAAAATTTTTTTTCGTTTTGGGTTTAAATTTTATTTTGTTATTATGAGCATTATTTTCACACCCTGTATTTGTTGGTAATTCTCTGCATCTTTCCGTTCAGTACGTAATGGTTTTAATGTTTTGTAATGACTATTTTAAGTCTATTTATCCACGTTTGACCTATTATTGATAAAACTTTTGTTTTACAGGGTTGTGAAGATTAGTAAGTTACACATTTTTGAAACCATGAATCGATCAATGTTAGACCACCATTAGAAACCTGCAAGCACAGGACGGCCTTTTCGTCCTGGTACGGGACTCCTCAGCAGTGCGCGTTCAGGACTCCTGCACCCCGCAGGATTCCAACCCAGGACCTTCGGTATTGTGCGTGAACGCCTAACCATGGGACCACTGAGCCGGTATCTAACGGTGTTAATGTCTAACTTGATCAATTCACGGAGTTGCGTAACCTCATACACAGTCTTCGGTATGTCTTACTGTCTACACCCGAACAGGTTGAACTCTACTGGTCACCTCTTCCCACTAGAACTCGGAGAAGATTCCTCACGAAGCTAGTCACTAGTGAGCACAGGTAATTGCATTACGGGGTTGTGAAGATTGTTAAGTTACACATTTTTGAAACCATAAATCGATCAATGCTGAGGAATCCCATACCAGGACGCAACTGCCATGTCCAGTGCTTCCAGGTTTCTAATGGTGCTCTGACATTGATCGACTCATGGTTTCAAAAATGTAAGACTTTTGTTATCGTATTTTATTTTTCTTACTACTATCAGTACACCTTAGTCTCCCTCCTACTATCAACTTGTACTTTTTCGCCTATTAAATATGTAGTGACGTGATCTCTATTACATTTAATTGTGATTATTGACTCCAATCGCCGTGATTGGTTTAACATTTTCATATATAAATATTCATGTATATTAGAGAGAGTAAAGCAGCCTGATGACGATCTAATCGAAAACAACAATAATATTGTTCGCTTATATCTGTGTTGTTCTAACATAAAACACTGGTATATTTTGGCAAAAAATAATCTGAAATTAAGGAAGTCTTTGGAGTATAACGAATGACTTAATATCCAACGTTAAAAACAATGAATTGATGATCAGTTTTCAATGTAATCAAGGGTAAACTTGGTGTACAGCTGACCGATCCATAAGTCGTCGTCATCATTGACAGAATTCACTGAACAGTATGTGATTAGGCAAACATCACTTGTAAACATTTTAGTCTTTAGGATCAATTGTGGATCAGATCAGAGCTCAGTGGTAATGTTTTTCACGCTTGCAATAAGCTTTCATAATTAATCATGTCACCAAAAATAATTCTTACCTTAATCAAGTTTAGAAGATACATTATTAACAGTTCTAGAGTGATAATAGTCAATGGACAAAGTTCAGCAGTCCATCGAAATATCAATTCTAAATGAAGACATATTGTAGCGGCAAAAATCAGACTCCAAAATAAATAGTTCTGTAGATCTTCAACATTGATACTGACTCATGTTGTTAGTCTTATTGGACACAGCCTAGCAGAAAGCGTATGAAATCACAGGTGGTAGCAAGCTTAGTTCATTCACTCATTGACATCCTGACCATCGTTGAAATAAATAAATATATACTTCCAATCTTCCTCATTCCTGATTTCTCTGGTGTTATTATATAACTTAGTTTTGGGTAATAGTTGTCAATGTGAAAGTTGTTACAGACAATAGTATTTTTTAGTTCAACTCTGTTGTTAATTATATCTATGATTTCCTGAAAGTTGGAAAGAGTTCGGCAGTGCAAAAGATCTTCTTCTTCTTAATGGTGTGGTTGTTACGCATTTAATTCAACTTTCTCATGGATATATATGTCTGTCAACAGATCGAATTTCATGAATGAATTTTACGCCACAGATTCCATTTGTTGTTGATTTGAATGACAAATTGGTAAGCAGTTGACGCATAATTTTGGTTTGGACTTGCAACAGTTTTTGAAACATTTTCGAGATCGTCGTTTTCTGAAGCACAAGAGAAATGAGAAGAAGAACCAGTCGGATGTGAAACGAGCGAACAATGGGTATACAAAGTCATAAACGTCGGAAGATCTATTTACTTCTACACTCTGCGTATTATTAATCAGAGGATTGAAAGATGTTTAACATCTGACTGATCGTTAGGTGTTAAAACTCATTTACCACCTAACTCAATCACTCTATCGAGCCTCTAAATGTACATTCACACACACACACACACACACCATTTGAAGACTTTCTGTCACGATACTCTTACTTTGAAAGATCACCTAACGAATATGATTGTATGGTTGGTTCAACCGTTGCCTGTTAATTAATAATCATAGAACTTGTTAAGGATATTCGTAAGAACAGTCAAGGATTTTCCGACGTGGGGAAATGTAAGCTGAAGGTTAACTAAGCGTCTCTTGGCGCGAAAACATAGAAAAATCAAAATTGAGGCAATAAATTTTAAAATTAGAACCTTTCCAAGACAGTTATGTGGATCTAACGTCCCCAACAATTTGTTAAAGCTTTAGTCTCACCTTGGATAACACATGGAAAACGAGTAAGTGCTGGCTAGTAAAAGATCAGCGAATTCGCTGAACCATAAATAATAAAGAACTCCTCAAAAAAGATCATGAATAAAACAGGCGTCATCGATTAGTGTGTGAAGGAAGTGATTATCATACTAGTTATTATATTGGAAGCTGATTGATTAGTTTACTCAATCATTCTAAAATAATTAGTTAAGCATTCATCACAAAACCTGATGGTTCCTAGTTCGAACCCTCCAAATTAGTACATGTTAGTCCAGTGTTGAGGACGACATAACGATTGAATTCTTTTGACTATTTAACTGAGAAACAATAGTGGATGCGCACTGCCACCGATGAGTCCCATACCAGGATGAAACGGCGGTCTTTCAGTGCTTCCAGGTTTCTAATGGTGGTGGTCTAACAATGATCGATTGATGATTTCAAATGTGTAAAAAAAACACGAACCTACAAAACTCTGCCTCAAAATATCGTAACATGTGCTCACTAGTGACTAGCCCCGTGAGGAAATTCTCGGAGTTCTAGTTGAGAAGACGTGACCAATCAATGGAGTTCAACCTTGTCGGGTGTAGGCAGTAACTACAAAAGACAAATGAATGAGGTCGCGCAAAATCCGTAGATCAATCAGAGTTAGACATTAACACTGTTAGATGCCGGCCCAGTGTGGTCCGATGGCTAGGCATTCGCGCACGATACCGAAGGACCAGAGTTTGAATCCTGCGAGAAGCAGGAGTCGTGGATGAGCGCGGCTACTGATGAGTCCCATACCAGGACGAAACGGCCGTCTTTCAGTGCTTCTTCCAGGTTTCTAATGGTGGTCTAACACAATGATTGATTGATGACATTCAAATGTGATAAATAATCTACTTACTTTGTTACACCTAAATCACGTTCATATTCAACAAGTAAATCGTCCTTATGCTGAATTTGATCTTTTAATGCTCCAATTCTTTGTGATAATAACTCAACTGTACCTTGACGTTCTTTTAAAATTACTTCTCTTTCAATATTTGGTGACAATTGCACAAGTGATCTTTGTTCTGGCAGATCACTTAAATCTAAACAACTTGACAGGGATTGAACTAAATTTAAGTAGCTTTCTTCTGAAGTCTATAAATCAAGGTAAAAAAAAACAGCACAGAATTGATTTAATTAGTTAGAGATTAAATGTGTCATTTATTGATTTTGTGAAACAAGGGCGTTCACTGATTGGTTGGTTGGTTGGTTGTGTATGTATGTACACTTTAGCTGATTTTAATCATAAAACTTGTTTTGTTTTTCATTGAAGCTTGCTTACTTACTTACTTACTTACTTACTTACTTACTTACTTACTTACTTACTTACTTACTTACTTACTTACTTACTTACTTACTTACTTACTTACTTACTTACTTACTTACTTACTTACTTACTTACTTACTTACTTACTTACTTACTTACTTACTTACTTACTTACTTACTTACTTACTTACTTACTTACTTACTTACTTACTTACTTACTTACTTACTTACTTACTTACTTACTTACTTACTTACTTACTTACTTACTTACTTACTTACTTACTTACTTACTTACTTACTTACTTACTTACTTACTTACTTACTTACTTACTTACTTACTTACTTACTTACTTACTTACTTACTTACTTACTTACTTACTTACTTACTTACTTACTTACTTACTTACTTACTTACTTACTTACTTACTTACTTACTTACTTACTTACTTACTTACTTACTTACTTACTTACTTACTTACTTACTTACTTACTTACTTACTTACTTACTTACTTACTTACTTACTTACTTACTTACTTACTTACTTACTTACTTACTTACTTACTTACTTACTTACTTACTTACTTACTTACTTACTTACTTACTTACTTACTTACTTACTTACTTACTTACTTACTTACTTACTTACTTACTTACTTACTTACTTACTTACTTACTTACTTACTTACTTACTTACTTACTTACTTACTTACTTACTTACTTACTTACTTACTTACTTACTTACTTACTTACTTACTTACTTACTTACTTACTTACTTACTTACTTACTTACTTACTTACTTACTTACTTACTTACTTACTTACTTACTTACTTACTTACTTACTTACTTACTTACTTACTTACTTACTTACTTACTTACTTACTTACTTACTTACTTACTTACTTACTTACTTACTTACTTACTTACTTACTTACTTACTTACTTACTTACTTACTTACTTACTTACTTACTTACTTACTTACTTACTTACTTACTTACTTACTTACTTACTTACTTACTTACTTACTTACTTACTTACTTACTTATGCACTTGCTTACTTAACTACTTACCTACTTACCTACTTACTTACATACTTACTTACTTATGCACTTACTTACTTACTTACATACTTGCTTACTTATGCACTTACTTACTTACCTACTTACCTACTTACTTACTTACTTATTTATGAACTTACTTACTCCTGTTACCCCCAATGGAGCATAGGCTAACGACCAGTGTTCTCCGATCTACTATATCCTGGACTTTGCTTTTCCAGTTCTATCCAATGGTTGTTCATTCTTCTCATGTCTTCCTCTATTTCTCGGTTTAATGCGTTTCTTAGCCTTCCTCTTTCCCTATGGCCTTGAGGGTTCCATGTGGGGGCTTGTATTGTGACGCAGTTAGGTGCTTTTAGCAGTGTGTGACCTATCCACTTCCACCGCTTCTTCCTGACTTCCTCCTCAACTGGAATCTGGTTTGTTCTCACCCACAGTAGAGTGTTGCTGATCGTGTCTGGCCAACAGATCCGAAGTATTTTACATAGGCAACTATTAATAAATACTTGTATCTTGTGGATGATGGCTTTGGTAGTTCTTCAAGTTTCCACTCCATATAGTAGAACTGTCTTGACATTTGTATTGAGAATTTGATGTTTGTTGATAGTTTTTCTGAGTTCCAGATGTTGTTCAATTGTAGAAATGCAGCCCTTGGTTTGCCCACGCTTTTCCATCTGCATCGGATCTACCTTGATTGTTGATGATGCTGCCCAGATATATAATTGTTTTAATGACCTCCAAGGCATCTCCATCCAGAGTGATTTGGTTGGCGCATGTGGTATTGTATCGGAGAGTCTTGCTTTTCTCTTTGTGTGTGTTGAAACCCGCTTCTACTGAGGCTGCTACTACACTTGTAGTCGATCTGGTTAGTGTATGTGTTTGTTGACAAGATTGCTTCCTCACAAGGCGAGACATAATTTGTAATTGTCAAAACATAAGGAAGAGACACCAACCAAAGAAAATATTACGTCAAGAATAGGTGGCATACATGAAAACTATTAATTACATTTGGCTAGAACTGAAAATGCAAATTCAGAATATAGTGTAAGGTTGGCGATTGCTGGTAAGTTCGAATCTACTGAGGTGCATGAGTCGTGGATGCACGATGCTGGTGAGCCCTATACCAGGACGAAACGGATGTGCAGTGCTTCCAGGTTTCTAATGGTGATCTGATAACGTCTATGTTTCAATTAATTGTTATTGATTTCAAGCATTTCAATGGAGCGAAAACATGAAAAACTACGAAAGCCATCATCCAGAAGATTCAAATGTTGTACATTAAGAGCTGTCTATACAAAATACCTCGGATTCGTTGGCCAGATTTATCAGCAACAACCAGCTGTGGGGAAGAACACTCCACATTCCACAGGAGGAAGAAATCAGGGAGAAGCTCTGCCAGTCGATAGATAGGACACACACAGAGGAAAGCACCCAACTGCGTCACAAGACAAGCCGTCTCCTGGAATCCTCAAGGCCCGAAGAAAAGAGGAAGATCGAAATGCACATTACGAAGAGGAACGGTTACAGACATGCAAAGAATGAACAAAAAGTTAGACAGAACTTCAAGGAAAGACCCAGGATGGACAGAGTAGACTGCAGAATAATGGTCGGCAGCCTATGCTCCACTGGGGAAAGTAAAGTAATATTGTCAAACTTTACTTCCGAAATAATTAACATACAATTCATCCATCATTACAACTTAGATTTCACGTAAAATACACGACGAGTTATCTTAAGTCTGATTTGCTCACTCAAAACCGTCAGCATACTTTACTTATTTTTACCAACGTTTCTATCATTCCATCGTTCAATTTCAGCACTGAGTTCTGATCCAATAAACCAGTCACAAATTAGAATAGAGACACTTCTGGCAGAGTTTTGGAGGTTGGTGTTTTTACACATTTGAAATCATCAATCCATGATTGTTAGACCACCATTAGAAACATGGAAGCATTGGACATGGCCGTTTCGTCCTGGTGTGGGACTCATCAGTGGCAGTGCGCATCCACGACTCCTGAACCTCGCAGGATTCGAACCCAGGACCTTCGGTGTTGTGCGCGAACGCCTAACCATCGGACCACTGGGCCGGCATCCAACGGTGTTATTTTGTCGGTGATATTTTTTGTCAAAGTTTATAATAGTGTTTATCCTGGGAGTAATTTTGGGATGGGGCCATATACTCATCATTAAGGGAACATTTTTTCCTCGTTAGTGAATTTCATGTCCTCTTGTGAATCAATCAGTCAATCGACAGAATTGAAAACTGTTCACTATTGATGTTAACAAAATGGTCTAATTCCCAGTGAATAAAATTAATAATACCGAATAATTCATTTACATTCAATCAATACTATTTATCATTTTTATGGGAATACTCTTCAGATTAACAACTAATGCCGTTCATACCTTCCAGAGATTTATCGACAAATTGTGAGTTTAATGTAGGCTTTGGCTGTTCATAAATTAAGAACCACTTTCCTTATGTGTACAAAAAATGGTTTGTGATAACCTTGAATTTACCACGGTAATCTTTAAGCTATTATTTCATGGCATAGGGGATAATTCCCTACCCCTTCCTATTCTTTCTATATTTTGCGTTGATTTCCTTTCTCTCTCTCTCTCCCTCATTTACAATTCTCACTTTGTGTCTATCTGAACTTCTATTTGATTGACCTGTTATTAATCTCTTCATATCAAAATGCCTTGACAAGTAAATATGTGTGACCAGATTGTTCGAAGTGTATAGCGCAAATACATCACAACAATTTGCAGATCAATTACGTCTCCTCACTGTTCTATCAAATTTTATAAAACGGACCAATTTTCACATAAATATGTGTTCGAAATACGTCTCACAACATTTTCCAGATCAGCTACATCTTCTCACTGTACTATCAATAAAGATATCTGGTGACAGGAGACAAAAAATCAACATAATCTAGAAAGAAAAAGGGTAGGAAATTGTTCCATTACGCCAAGCCCTTAAAAACATTGGTATAGATAAACTGACGGACGAATTCTGAGGTTTATGGACACTCTGGGCTATTCGTAAATTAAAATCCCCCTTATGTGTACAGAAACAGTTTATTATACCTTGGCCTTTATTATACCCTGGCCATCTTTGAAGCCATTTTATGGTAAGCACATACAATCAGTAAATAACACTGAAGAATAAAAATAATGCAGTTATCTAAGCTTATTGAATATTCTGTTTGATGAACCTCGATTGATGATAATCACACAACACGAATATATGCTTCATATATATGCAGATCGCGCGTTCGCGCACAAAATCGAAGGTTTTGGGTTCGAATCCTGAGATTAGCGGGGGTCGTCGATGTGCACTGTTGATGAGTCCCATATCAGGATCAACCGGCCGTGTTTCAGTGCTTCCAGGTTTCTAATGGTGGTCTAACAATGATTGATTGATGATTTCAAATGTGCAACAAACACTAATCTCCATAACTCTAATCGGAAAATTAATTTGCGTGTTGAAGTCTGTCTCACCAGCCAATCAATGACATGTAGAACACGTATTGGACATGTTGTATTAACATTGCACAGATCTAGTTAGCAAACTTTTTTATACGCACAACTTATCCACGAATGAAAGTCAAGTTATCTAGTTCTTATTATGTATGCTATTAAGTTCAAACTCTATTGTTTAAGTGTCCATGTCTAGACAATTTACATTTTCCTAATTGTCAGGTGTCGACTACCTGTTTGAGGTCCGCAAGACGAAAGTAACCGATGATTCGACATCTTGAATGACATGGCTCAAAAACGTTTGCGATGGCTCAGGTGCATTGATTCTTTGTGTTCTTTCTGTCAAATCCTAACCTTCAGAGTTCACTAGATTCTACTTCTTGAATAATAATATCATCGGACCCGAAAATTTCCAATTACAGCTAATACTTCTACTACTATCTCTACTACTACTATTACTACTACTACTACCACTACTACTACTACTACTACTACCACTACTACTACTACTACTACTACTACTACTACTACTACTACTACTACTACTACTACTACTACTACTACTACTACTACTACTACTACTACTACCACTACTACTACTACTACTACTACTACCACTACTACTACTACTACTACCACTACTACTACTACCACTACTACTACTACTACTACTACTACCACTACTACTACTACTACTACTACCACTACTACTACTACCACTACTACTACTACTACTACTACTACTACTATTACTACTACTACTACTACTACTACTACTACTACTACTACTACTACTACTACTACTACCACTACTACTACTACTACTACTACCACTACTACTACTACTACTACCACTACTACTACTACCACTACTACTACTACTACTACTACTACCACTACTACTACTACTACTACTACCACTACTACTACTACCACTACTACTACTACTACTACTACTACTACTACTATTACTACTACTACTACTACTACTACTACTACTACTACTACTACTACTACCACTACTACTACTACTACTACTACTACCACTACTACTACTACTACTACTACTACTACTACTACCACTACTACTACTACTACTACTACTACTACTACTACTACTACTACTACTACTACCACTACTACTACTACTACTACTACCACTACTACTACTACTACTACCACTACTACTACTACCACTACTACTACTACTACTACTACTACCACTACTACTACTACTACTACTACCACTACTACTACTACCACTACTACTACTACTACTACTACTACTATTACTACTACTACTACTACTACTACTACTACTACTACTACTACTACTACTACCACTACTACTACTACTACTACTACCACTACTACTACTACCACTACTACTACTACTACTACTACTACTACTATTACTACTACTACTACTACTACTACTACTACTACTACTACTACTACTACCACTACTACTACTACTACTACTACTACCACTACTACTACTACTACTACTACTACTACTACTACTACTACTACTACTACTACTACTACTACTACTACTACTACTACTACTACTACTACCACTACTACTACTACTACTACTACTACCACTACTACTACTACTACTACCACTACTACTACTACCACTACTACTACTACTACTACTACTACCACTACTACTACTACTACTACTACCACTACTACTACTACCACTACTACTACTACTACTACTACTACTACTACTATTACTACTACTACTACTACTACTACTACTACTACTACTACTACTACTACCACTACTACTACTACTACTACTACTACCACTACTACTACTACTACTACTACTACTACTACTACTACACACTACTACTACTACTACTCACACTACTAATATGGGATTTGAATTGACAATCAATCACATCTCTGTTATGCGAATGTGTTATGTCCAACTTAAACTGATGTACATGCGTGCGTACGTACGATGTTCTGATGAGATCTATTTGTTACCCAATAAAAAACATCACAAAACTCACACGTAAAGCATCAATTGAATTGTTCACATCCATGATTTGGCCATTTTCTTGTACATTTTTTACTTTACATTCAATTTCTTCTTTAGGATTGTTTTTTAATTCTTTAATTCTAGATTTTAATTTTCTAAAAATTTTTTAAAAAAAAATTGAGAAATAAGAAAGTTAACATTCATTTGAAACATTGAACAATGAATGAATGAATTGATATAGTTAGTTTAAGTAAGTGAGTAAATTGACCAGAAAATTCTTTTCGCGGTAGATTTGATAAGTAGAAGATTATTAATGGGACAGAAGTGGATAATAATGAGGGCACTGATGATTTCAACATGGTGAGGTCAAGTGAATGATGCTACTCGGATCCTGTATGCACGTTTCCGAGACGCAGCACACATCGATTGAGCGAGATTCTAAAGTTTTAGTCAGTGAAGCCTGTTGCCCTATTTGACACAATGTTCGTACATTAAATGCTCCAACATGTAGTCTAGAGCATGGTTTCAGGAGACCGGAAATGACGTTCCGTGAACTCGCATCGTTTGCATTAGCTGTGCACTGTGATAAATGAATGTGAGAAGAGTTAGTCGTGGAGATAAGAGAGGTATTAGGGGGTTTAGGAAGGATTTGATTCTGACCAATTTGGTCTCGTGTGCTGTTACTGGTATGAAGGCGGTTATCACTTCCCGGATGCCCACACCGTGGAACGTTGTTTCTTGAGGCACCTGAAAAGGAAGATAGATTAGTGTTGGTCTTGGAGACCTGGATGCGTGACCGCAGAGCTCAACGGACAACTGCTTGAGGCCGGTCACGCACGTCCTTTTTATGAAAGGTTTTTTGAGTATTAGCTCAGGGGTTGACCTTCTACCAGGAAAATCGCTTACTGATCTAGAATATGCCGATGACATAGTCCTACTTGGTGAAGATGCTGACAAAGTGCAGAGTCTTCTGACTACTCTAAGCAACAATGCCAATCTGTGTCACTTATGGCGTAGGCGAGATATCCGTTCGCTAACCAAAGGACGGGTGTACTGTGCAGCAGTTCGCTCCGTTCTCCTATATGGATGCAAAACATGGCCTTTAAGAGTAGAAGATGTTCGTAGGTTACTAGTATTCGAACATAGATGTTTAAGAAGCATTGCTTGTATACTGTGGGCCAGCCGAGTAAGCAATGCTGTCGTTAGGAAACGAGTACTAGGTAAGAATGGCAGATCAATAGATGAAGTATTGAAACTTCATCAGTTGCGGTGGTTGGGACTGAGTCATGTTGGTAGGTGTCGACTATCTGGTTGGAGTCCGCGAGACGATAGTAACCGATGGTTAGACATTGAATGACATGGCTCAAAATTGCTTGCAATAATGCAGGTGCATCCACTCGTTGTGTTCTATGAAATTCTAATTTTCTGAATTCGACATCACCTCTACCTTCCTCCTTCTAAACTTATCTCAGTAGATCATACTTCTTGAGTAATATCTTAGAACCCTACTCTTCTTCATTACCAGTAATACCTCTACTATCTCAACCACTATGAGATTTGAATTAACAATTGTGTCTCTATACTAAACGGGTATAGTCACCCGAATTGATGTACTTACGTACTACTACTACTACTGTGGTGCGCGCTACTTATAAGTAGTAAATGACGCGAGTGTAAACGCAATGTCTGGCAGCAGAAGATGGGGGAAGATCAAGAAAGGAAGAGTTAGAAGAACACAATGGAATTTGTATGAAACGCATGAACAGTGAAATGTCAGACAATGGATTGATGTTTTGCAACAGGAACAGTCCAGTTCGATATGATCGATTGATATTTTGCAAATTAACGATTTACGATATGGTTTTTCTATTTTACCAATTAACTCTGTAATTTGTTCATATGTTTCATACAAATCCGATTGTGTTCCCGCTCTTTCTTTCTTGATCTTCTCCCACCTTCTGCTGCCAGACATTACGTTTTTACTCGCGTCATCTACTACTTATAAGTAGCGCTACTACTATTAGTTACTTACTTACTTACTTACGCCTGTTACTCCCAATGGAGCATAGGCCGCTCACCAGTTTTCTCCAACCAACTCTGTCCTGGGCTTCCCTCTCCAGTTCTGTCCAATGTTTGTTCATTCCTCTCATATCTTTCTCTATTTCTCGGCGTAGTGTGTTCCTTGGCCTTCCTCTTTTCCTTTTGCCTTGAGGGTTCCATGTGAGGGCTTGTCTCGTGACGCAGTTAGGTGCTTTTCGTAGTGTATGTCCTATCCACTTCCACCGATTCTTCCTGATTTCCTCCTCCACTGGAATCTGGTTTGTTCTCTCCCACAGTTCGTTGTTGCTGATGGTGTCTGGCCAACGAATCTGAAGTATTTTGCGTAGACAGCTGTTAATAAACACTCGTATCTTCTGAATGATGGCTTTGGTAGTTCTCCATGTTTCCGCTCCATACAGTAGAACTGTCTTGACATTTGTATTGAAAATCCTTATTTTGGTGTTGATTGATATTTGTTTGGAGTTCCAGATATTTTTCAACTGTAGAAATGCAACCCTCGCTTTGCCAATCCGCGCCCTCACATCTGCGTCCGATCCACCTTTCTCGTCGATGATGCTGCCCAGATATGTAAAGTTGTTAACGTCCTCGAAAGCATCTCCATCAAGCGTGATTTGATTAGTGCATGTTGTGTTGCATCGGAGAATTTTGCTCTTTCCTTTGTGTATGTTGAGACCTACTGCTGCAGAGGCTGCTGCTACACTGGTCGTCTTCTCTTGCATTTGTTGTTGAGTGTGCGATAGAAGAGCCAGGTCATCCGCGAAGTCCAGATCGTCCAGCTGCGTCCTAACTGTCCAGTTGATACCGTGCTTCCCTCCAGATGTTGACGTTTTCATAATCCAGTCGATGACCAGGAGAAAGAGAAAGGATGAGAGTAAGCAACCTTGCCTGACACCGGTCTTCACCTCAAAAGAGTCTGTCAGCTGACCTCCGTGCACGATTTTGCAGTTGAATCCATCATAAGAATTCCGTATGATGTTGACTATTTTCTCAGGCACATCGTAGTGTCGAAGAAGTCTCCACAGTGTTTTCCTGTCCACGCTATCAAATGCTTTCTCGTAGTCGATGAAGTTGATGTACAGTGGTGAGTTCCATTCAATTGATTGTTCCACAATGATCCGTAATGTAGCAATTTGGTCAGTACACGATCGATCCTTACGAAATCCGGCCTGTTGATCTCGAAGTTGGGCGTCTACGAAGTCCTTCATTCTGTTTAACAATACTCTGTTGAAGACTTTGCCTGGTATTGAAAGAAGAGTGATGCCTGTGTAGTTCTGACACTTGCTGAGATCGCCTTTGTTTGGTATTTTGATGAGGTATCCTTCTTTCCAATCTGATGGTACTTGTTCCTCATCCCAAATCTTCTTGAAGAGAATGTGAAATATTTTCTCAGTTGCTTCCAAATCTGCTTTGATTGCCTCTGCTGGAATGTTGTCTGGTCCTGCTGCTTTGCCGCTCTTGATTTTTCTGATGGCCATATTGATCTCCTCAATCGTAGGTGCGTCAATATTAATTGGGAGGTCCTTGGATGCTGCTTCGATGTTGGGTGGGTTCAGTGGAGCTGGTCGATTCAATAGTTCCTTAAAGTGCTCCACCCACCTATTTCGCTGTTCGTCAGTGTTGCTGATTATTTTCCCTTCCTTGCTTTTCACTGTTCGTTATGTTTTACGATAGTTCCCGGCGAGCTTCTTTGTAGTTTCGTACAATTGTCTCATGTTTCCTTCTCTTGCAGCCTTTTCCGCCGTCATTGCTAGATCTTCCACATCTTTTCGTTTGTCAGCTCTGATGCTCTTCTTCACTTCCCTGTTTGCTTCTGTGTATGCAGCTTGTGCCTTAACTTTCTCTGCTCTTGTTCGGCTGACATTAATTGGTGCCTTCTTGTTCCTTCTTTCTTCAATTTTTTCAAGAGTACCAACAGAGATCCATTCCTTGTGATGGTGCTTCTTGCGACCAAGGACCTCCTGACATGTTGAAGTGATTGCCTCCTTAATCCCTTTCCAATTGTTCTCCAATGTTGTGTCCTCTCCATTGTGTAGATCCTGTAAGGCCTGGAACTTATTGGTGAGGGCTATCTTGAATTCGTTGAGTTTTACAGTATCCCGAAGAAATGCCGTATTAAACTTGTGTGATGTTGTCTGCCCCGTTGTCCAGTGCTTATTTAGCTTCAGTTTCATTTTGGCGATCAGCAAGTGGTGATCTGAAGCTATATCAGCTCCTCTCTTGGTTCTCACATCCTCCATGGTCCTTCTGAACGTTTTGTTGATACAGATATGGTCAATTCGGTTTTGAGTAGTGTGATCCGGTGAAATCCATGTGGCTTTGTGAATGCGTTTGTGCGGAAATATTGTGCCACCGATGACCAGTTTGTTGAAGGCACATGAGTTTGCAAATCTCTCACCGTTTTCGTTTCTTTCTCCCAGTCCATGTCGTCCCATGATGTCTTCATATCCAGTGTTGTCCATGCCAACCTTGGCATTCAGGTCTCCCATAAGAATCGTTAAATCCTTTGGTGAACATTTCTCGACGATTGACTGTAGCCTTTCGTAGAATTGATCTTTAACGTCGTTATTGTAGTCATTGGTAGGTGCATAACATTGGATGACGTTCATTGTAATGTCCTGTTTCTTTGTTTTGAAGGATGCTTTGATGATCCTGGGTCCATGAGATTCCCATCCTATTAGTGCCTTTTGTGCATGTTTGGACAGCATCAGTGCAACTCCTTGTGTATGTGAAGCGTTTTCCTCTTCATGACCAGAGTATAACAGCAGTTCCCCTGAAGCTAGTCTCAGTTGTCCTACCTGTGTCCAATGCGTTTCACTGATGCCGAGCACCTCGAGGTTGTATCTTTTCATTTCTGCAGCAACTTGAAATAGTCTTCCAGTCTCCCCCCACAATGTACGAACGTTCTATGTATCTAAAAAAATGGTTGCTCTGGTTGTCAGAAGAGGCATCAGCCCCGTGACTTCCGTGGGAACTCGGCTTTCATCACGAGACGTCATAATTCTTCTTCCAACTCCCAGGGCAGAGTTAAAATGGTTTGAATTATTTTTTCTGGTTAGCGTTTTTTTTGGCAAGTGAGATTTCGACGGAATGAGGTCGCCAACCCCATGTCCAACCCTCCTCCTTTATCCGGGCTTGGGACCGGCAGTAGCCCCTAAGGTTCTATCTACTATCACGTTATTAACTAACTGATTCAATAAATGACTAACTAACTAACTTACTTGATTTCATCTTCTTTTTCATTTAATTTCTTATTCATTTGTTTAAATGAATTTTTCATATTAATCAGTTGTGTTCTTGTATTGAATAATTCCAAATTAGTTTTTTTACCACAATTCAATGCATCTTCAATTTCTTTTTGTATTTCACTTAATTCACCTTTGGAATCACATGAATAAAATTGTGTACCTTCTAAACCGGAACGCAATACTTCAATTGTTGATGTTTGATCTTTGATAACATTTTTTAATCGAGAGATTTTAAGTCTATGCATGCAATAGTAGTGGGTGGGCGGAAAAAAAGGTAGACAGGAATGACAAATGTAAAAATGTGATGAGATAATTTGCTATTTGGTGATAATTAACAAACAGGATTCTGTAGTGAGAGAGAGTTTGCCCGCAATATATGTAAACTGGTCGTCCGTCAAACGGCGGACGGTACAGCATTGCCATACATCAACAACAAAGGCGTACACAAAGCGACACAGATATTTCACACTACTCATAATCGAATCGACCAACTGTGTGTGCGTGTGTGTGTGGGCATTAATTAGAAAGTTCATAAAGACTATATATATATATGTATGCATGATATGTGAGAATCAAGAAGAGTGCATCTGACATTAGCTTCAAATGGTCAAGATGAAAAATGAAATTTTTAACTAGCACTGGACAAATGAAATGAAAAAATTTAATCAAGATCTTTCTCATCTGGGATATCACAGCAAGCCTTTCACGATCTAACTCACATCGATGAACAACAGGAAAACAACAACACAACTGGAAGAAGAAACAAAAAGGAATTCACTTCAACATTCATTCACTTCACATGAGATTCTTGGCCACAACACAGAAAATAAAGCACCATCACATCACAGGCAATGGAGTTGTTTTGATGCTCTAAATAAGATTCAAGAAACAAGAGAGAGAAAAAAAAAATAACAAGGCAAAACAATCAATCAATATCAGCCAAACTAGAATATAAGTGAAAAGTAAAGTAAAGTAAAGTGTAAAGGCATAAGTTCATTATACACAAAGAAGTAAACAAGGAAATGAATGAAGAAGAATGAGTATCACAACTGAACAGCTGGAAATGATCATAAACCAGTAGGACCAGTGAAGAAAAAACCAAGCAAGGAAGGCAAAGTAATCAACAAGCAAGCAACATTGAAGAACAGCGAAACGAAACAGGTGGTTGGAACTGCTGTTTGAAGAATTCTTGAATAGACCAGTCCCAATGAACCCAATCCAACACTGAAGCTGCAGCACCAAACGACCTCTTAATAAATAATGTTGACCCATCAACCACCAGTGGAGGCACTGAAGCTAGCCAGACATAACAGTAACTGCAAACATTTTGCACTCTCTGTGTTTAGCAAGATTTGGGAAGAACAATTACCAACCAACACACTGAAAAAGAGGACACCTCTTGGATATACAAAAGAAAGGAGATCTCAGCAAGTATCAATCTTCTTCTCTTAGTAACGGAAAAAGTCTTCAAAAGAGTGTAGGTGAACCGAACGAAAGAATTCAATAGACTCATAACTTCAAAATCAGCAGGCTGGATTCTGTAAGGATCAATCATGCGCCGACCAAATCGCAACAATACGGATCAATGTGGAACAATCAAGTAAATGGAATTCCCCACTGTAAATCAACTTCATTGACTATAAGAAAACATCCGACAGCGTGAAAGGATGACACTCTCCAGGCTTGACGAATCATTTTGATATAACGTATCAGAAATTGGTCATCATCATCATCAGCCTAACTAAATATTTCCGCTCACAGTACAATCAGTGTATGTCATTCGTACTAAATACAATACTGCTGAATATTTGTAGTTGTATACCACAACCTTGTTTTTATTTCAAGGGATTTTTTTAACCATACGTTTTTATACAGTGAAAGAAGTAGATTACAAAGTTTCACACGGAATGTAATTCCACTCGCCAGAGATAAATCTTAAATTCATTGACTAGTTATTGATTAGTGACAGTAGCAGTAGTAGTAGTAGTAGCCAGTGTCTAGCCATTTGGAACTTAATACCGATTAGATTTGCAATGTAGCCTATGAAATGATCGACTAGTTATTATGTACAGAATTGGTTTTAGTCTGTCTATATGGTTGTCAACTAGTGGGAATTGTAAGTTCACTTAACTTTCTGTCTATTACCAACAACTATGGAAATTATATCTCAAACATAATACAACACGATGATTCGAATGTTACGTTGAAAATGTGTGAGTAGCAACTGTGTTTATATTGTCCGTTGAATTTAGTGACATTTTCCGATGTACAGATATGTGTTATCGTCTTCGGATCACACTATATGTATGTGAATTTTCTGTGAAACGATGTGTAATATCCTTCGGTTGGTTATCAATCAAAAAATCAGACGAGGTAGCATTAGGTCACATAACTTTCAAGACAGGAAATTAACAATTAACAGTAAAATGAGGAATCACAATCAATTATTACAATGCTCATCTACATACTACTCAAATAGAATAATAATAAACGGGTTTCGAAGAACGAACAAGAAGTCATTGATGGACATTTTTAACCAAGAAAGCGTGTAACTGACAATGATCAATAGAAATCGGACGTAACTTTCATTCCTATCAAGACAACAAATTCTTCATCTTGATTACTGGAAGAACTCTTGACTTATAAATAAAACCATAGGTTCAATGTATTTTCATTATCAGTTATTCGCTGGTTATCTAAATACTACTCAAATAGAATAATCGACGGGATCAAAAAAAGTGAAATTTCGATGAAAGCGAATTTTCAACCTTCCGCCACAAAACACAGCTTGTGACCTTGATCGTAGAATTCAGTTGTGTTTTTAAATCTAGTCACGACTATTATTGATCTACGCCACTCTCACTCTCTCATGTGTGTGTGTGTGTGTGTGTGTGGGAGGGGGTCGACATTTCAGATCATGTCAGCTGATGATGAAAGTCAAACAATACAGTGACTATTACTGCATCATTTACTCATTCAATAATCAATATTTGTAAATAAGAAGTATGCATGAATTGTTTCATCATTCAAACAACTTACTTCAATTTATCAATTAATTTCGGACTTGTACTCTCATCACCATATGAATGAGCTGAAGCGGGTTTACTGGTGATTTGTAATTGTTTATATTCATTTTGTAAATCTACATATGTACATATACACATAGATATATAGAGGGAGAAAGAGGTTAAATTATGAAATTCGACATGATGTAATTGTTATTTTAGTTTATATATATATATATATATATATATATATATATATATATATATATATATATCGATCGATCAAGCATCATAAGAGGCTCTTTGCAAATTAGTACACTTTATACTCATCATCCTGTTCCTCAAGGCCACCATACATGGTAAAAGAGCAAGCGATCAAAGAACAGAGCAGTAAGCCAAGAATTAATTAATTGGAAGTAGTAGACATGAAAAGAATGAATTGTGATTGGGTAGAATTTTTGAGATGTGGAAAGCCAAGGTAGGATAAAGACGGTTGGGGAATGCTGATTGATGATCTATGGCTTCATTTGGAGTAACAAGAGTAAGTAAGTAAGTAAGTAAGTAAGTAAGTAAGTAAGTAAGTAAGTAAGTAAGTAAGTGCATAAGTAAGTAAGTAAGTAAGTAAGTAAGTAAGTAAGTAAGTAAGTAAGTAAGTAAGTAAGTGCATAAGTAAGTAAGTAAGTAAGTAAGTAAGTAAGTGCATAAGTAAGTGCATAAGTAAGTAAGTAAGTAAGTGCATAAGTAAGTAAGTAAGTAAGTGCATAAGTAAGTGCATAAGTAAGTAAGTAAGTAAGTGCATAAGTAAGTAAGTAAGTAAGTAAGTAAGTGCATAAGTAAGTAAGTAAGTAAGTAAGTAAGTAAGTAAGTGCATAAGTAAGTAAGTAAGTGAGTAAGTAAGTAAGTAAGTAAGTAAGTAAGTAAGTAAGTAAGTAAGTAAGTAAGTAAGTAAGTAAGTAAGTAAGTAACTGCATAAGTAAGTAAGTAAGTAAGTAAGTAAGTAAGTAAGTAAGTAAGTAAGTAAGTAAGTAAGTAAGTAAGTAAGTAAGTAAGTAAGTAAGTAAGTAAGTAAGTAAGTGCATAAGTAAGTGCAGTAAGTAAGTAAGTAAGTAAGTAAGTAAGTAAGTAAGTGCATAAGTAAGTGCATAAGTAAGTAAGTAAGTAAGTAAGTGCATAAGTAAGTAAGTAAGTAAGTAAGTAAGTAAGTAAGTAAGTAAGTAAGTAAGTAAGTAAGTAAGTAAGTGCATAAGTAAGTAAGTAAGTGAGTAAGTAAGTAAGTAAGTAAGTAAGTAAGTAAGTAAGTAAGTAAGTAAGTAAGTGCGAAGTAAGTAAGTAAGTAAGTAAGTAAGTAAGTAAGTAAGTAAGTAAGTAAGTAAGTAAGTAAGTAAGTAAGTAAGTAAGTGCATAAGTAAGTAAGTGCATAAGTAAGTGCATAAGTAAGTAAGTAAGTAAGTAAGTAAGTCAGTATCAGGTAAGTATTTTGTTCTAAGGGTGATTGATTTATCTATCATTGTCTATTACTCTTATGCAATAGCATAATTTCACTTGGAATGCATTGAGTTTGATTTCTAGTTCGTTTTTGTTAATAATAAGTAGAGATTTGATAGAGAGCTGCTATTTTGTGACATAGGAGTAGATTGGAAGAAAGTTAGGGTGGCTAGACCATAAACATGGTAGAAATCCATGAAGTCACTGACAAGTGTACTGAGTTATGTTGGTTGATGTAGGCTACCTGGTTAATGGTTAGAGATGTTGAACGACATCGCTCAAAATCTCTTGCAATGACACAGGTGCATCCACTCTTTGTGTTCTTTCAAATGTTAGTCTTCTGAACTGCTCATCATCTCTATCTCTCTCTTTCTAAATTCATCTCACTGAATTACACTTCTCGAATGATATTTTCTCTCTCTAATCTTCTCCGTTACTGCTAATACTTTTACCATCGCTAAAACTATTGGATTTGAGCTGAGGGTTGCATCTCTGTGCTAATGAGGTATGGCAACCCGAACTGATGTACATACGTACGAAGTTTTACGCAGTAACTGACTGACTGCTGTTGAAGACAAAGAATTTGCTTTCATTCTGATTTAACACTGACTGACTACTACTTGCACCCAGGTGATGGATAAAGATTACGCTTAAATTCATCATTTGACGCGGATTGATGTTTGTTTAACAGCCAGTGAAAACCAAGAAGCACTGAATAAGTGTGTTTTGTCAATGCATATATCCACAACTTCGTCGGAGATCAAAGACTAACCAATGATGCAAACTAGGAAATTCAACAAACACACTCTAAACCTCTATCATAGTCGAATTCATATGATTTATGCCCTATAAAGAGTAAGCAGTCATTCATTTCCTCGTTCAGAAGTTTATATTTACACTTGCTCCTTCTAAATATGACGTCAAAAATTGACAACAACAACTCAAGTTTTATTAAATATTATGTGAATTTATATTGTGGGATTTAATTGAGGTGGAATATACTATTATCTTTAATTTACCACACTGATCAATTTAAACACACAGAAAGCAACTCTACAAGCTTTTGACCTCAAAGTCTAATCTCCAAATCAATGGAGCAACGTCAGGATTTACGTACGGTGTTGTGATAGTCAATGACCAACAACTGATTCACGCCCTGGGTGAGTGAGTGCTTCGTGTTTAAACAACTTGGTTAAAAGCACCGGATATTCACTTTCTCATTGTAATAATTGGGCTTATCTTCACTAACGAACTTAGCAGAGAGCGAATTCACGAGCGAAATGAATGCATGTAGTAGTAGTAGAAGTAGTGTGGTGCGAGCTACTTATAAGTAGTATATAACGTGAGTGTCAACGTAATGTCTGGCAGCAGAACGCGGGGGAAGATCAAGAGAAAGGAAGAGTTAGAAGAACACAATGGAATTTGTATGAAACGCATGAATAGTGACAATGGATTGATGTTTTGCAACAGGAACAACAGTGCAGTTCGATAATATGATGAACTGTGATATTTTGTAAATTAACGCGATTTACGATATGGTTTTCCGATTTTACTGAGTAACTCTATAATTTTCGTTAAATACATACAATTCGATTGCCCCACCTATGTTCTCGTTCACTACAGTAGTAGTAGTAGTAGTAGTAGTAGTAGTAGTAGTAGTGTGAGTAGTAGTAGTGTGAGTAGTATTAGTGTGAGTAGCACTAATGTGAGTAGTAGTAGTAGTAGTAGTAGTGTGAGTAGTAGTAGTAGTAGTAGTAGTAGTAGTAGTAGTAGTAGTAGTAGTAGTAGTAGTAGTAGTAGTAGTAGTAGTAGTAGTAGTAGTAGTAGTAGTAGTAGTAGTAGTAGTAGTAGTAGTAGTAGTAGTAGTAGTAGTAGTAGTAGTAGTAGTAGTAGTAGTAGTAGTAGTAGTAGTAGTAGTAGTAGTAGTAGTAGTAGTAGTAGTAGTAGTAGTAGTAGTAGTAGTAGTAGTAGTAGTAGTAGTAGTAGTAGTAGTAGTAGTAGTAGTAGTAGTAGTAGTAGTAGTAGTAGTAGTAGTAGTAGTAGTAGTAGTAGTAGTAGTAGTAGTAGTAGTAGTAGTAGTAGTAGTAGTAGTAGTAGTAACATGATGATCAATCAGGTAGTTGCATAACTTGTTAATAAAAAGTCTGAAGAAGTTGTAATCATCAGTAATAATAATTATTTACCTACCCCGAAAAAACCCTAACCTAAATAATAAGATGAAATTATTATTATTATTGTTTGTGTAGTGAAAATATTGATTTGATCCTATAATTCAATAATTGAAAACAATCACCTGTATTTGTACGTCTCAGTCTGGTCACTTCATTTTTAGTCTCATTGAGTTCTTTTTTCATTTTAATTAAACGATCTTGTATAATACAAATAGTTCTTGATTGTTGTCTAACTTGTTCTTTATTTGTAGTAGTTTGTGTGTCGGATTTCTTCAAATTACTGGATTCACATGGTCGTTGCTCACTGTCGTCACCGTCATCATGTAATGATGAGAGTAATAATGAGGTGGGTGTAGTGATATTCGGAATGCAAGTAGTAGTAGTAGGAGGAGGAGTAGTAATACTAGTGGTAAGAGATTTTTGTTGATTACCTAATTGTAATTTCAACTGTTCAATTTGATGCTCTTTTAATTCAATTTCATGTTGTAATTTAGATAAAAGTTTATTGGCTTCCTTGGCTTCGCTTAATTCGGTTTCATGAGCTTTTTGTTTTTCGGCTAAAATCTAAAGAAAGAGAAAATATCGAAATCGGCATTGATTTTCAAGAAATAATAATTGTCGGAAAACGAGGAGTGAGGACTGAGGATCCGGCGACACGACAGGTTACTTTAATCCGAGTGTCCCAAAGCCCCATTGAGTAGAAGAATAGAAGACTTGATATGAAGTCTAGGAGGGTACGAGGTCCGAGTCCAGAAGAGGCTAAGGATCCAGATCCGAGTCATAAAACGTTACAGATAATGCGAATTTGTCCAATTAGGTCAAATAGGAACCAACATTGAAGTATGTGACCTTGACAGTTAAGGCGACCAATAGGAAACAATATTTGAAGTGAGATTGTTAGTTAGGACGACCTTGATATTGACCAGTTGGAATCAACCAATAGGAATTGACCAATAGAAATAGACTCTTGGGTTATTTGATGAATATCCTAACATGTACATAACTCATCTACTACGTATATGTGCTATACTATACTGTGTTCACTCTTGTACTTGACCTTAATTTTCAATGTGCTTGGCTGATGAGTGGACATCAGGCCATAGTTAGTCAGTCAGTCAGTTCAATAAGCAAGCAGTCTCTATGACTGTCACTCAACTGTGTTCACAGTAGTTGTCTAGTGCATTGACAGAATAGAAAATCTCACTAGACATTCTCCATGGTTGATTAATAAACATCTACCTATTCATTGTATCAGTTACGTTGAAGGTCAGCTCGATCGTGCTTTTATGTGATAAACTTTGCCAGCTGGATATCGTACATCAAGGTCGTAGTATACATATATATATATAGAGAGAGAGAGAGCGAATCGTTCTTGTTAAAGTTTATGCTGAAAAATTGACGGAGGTTTACGCATAGAAACGAAAGGGTGAAAATAACTGTATTTCTACATTTTACCAGGAGTTCTTGGTTTCAAATCACCAAACAATTCAATATGAACATATGTTTACGGAGACAGTGGTTGTGTATGTATACTACTGTTACGCCTGCATGTAAACACGTCATTTTTATATACCTGAACTATTAAGAGTTTACCTGATCGGAAAACGAGAGCGAGGATCGAGGATCCGGTGACACGACATGCTACTCAAATCCGATTATCCCAACCAACCCCATATTGAGTGAAAATAAGAAGACATGATATGAAGTAGAACCTGTATTCGACAAGCATCCAGAAAGTACGAGGTCCGAATCCAGAAGAGAAACAGGATCTCGGACTAGGGATCCGGTACCAGGTCCTGGTCCCGGTCGTGGTCATAAAACGTTACACATAATGCGTTTTTATACATTTTAGTCGAATAGGAAACAGCATTGAAGTCTGTGTGACATTGACAGTTAAGACGACCAATAGGAAACAACATTTGAAATGACCATGATAGTCAAGACAACCAATAAGAAACAATATTGGAGCGCGTGACATTGATATCTACTAGGACGACCATAAAATTGACCAGTAGAGTAATGAACCAATACGAATAGACCAATCAAAAAATTCTCTTAGGCTATTGGATGAATTTCCTAACAACTAAACTGAGTTCCAGTACACGACACTTGAAAATGCCTTTCATAACCATTGAATTTATTGTCAACCGAGTAATCAGGCAAATTGTCACCGCCACTGACTGATGGGATGTTTATTAGTTATCTTATTGACGAATCGCTTTCATGGTAGTCAACCTTCGCCTTAGAGTATTTATTACTTACAATACACACTTCATCATCATAAGAAAGAATAAAATAAATTTACTTGACGAGTTTCACGTAGTTCATTTTCAAGTTCTTCAATAATCGTTTGGTCTTGGTGTCGCTTTCTGTCACCTTTCTGTTCAACTTCTTCAAAAGATTTGGCTTTTTTATCTCTACCTGTAAGCGAACATACAAACATTTGATTGTTGAGAGTATTCGCTAAAATGAATGAATGGGTCAGTTGGACAAACGACATTTCTCTTCAATTGTCTCGATCGACATGGTGAGAATGTATTGGATATGGTTTTTTCTTTCACGTTAAGGATTGATCAATTCGAATAAGTATAATCCAATAAAGTATTTCAGTCGGCTGACGACTTTATTTATTTTACACATTTGAAATCATCATCGTGGATGCGCACTGCTGATGAGTCCCATACCAGGACGAAACTGTCGTCCACTGTTTCCAGGTTTCTAATGGTGGTCTAACAATGATTGATTAGTCATTTCAAATGTGTAAAAACACTAATCTCCATAACTCTAATTGAAAATCTGGCCAGCCTTGTTGAAGTAAAGGGATGACGTAATCTTGTATGACGTTTTCTAGTCTGCCTATGTAATATTGATTACTTTGAGTAGCTGATCGTCTTGAATTTCAGGTTAGTAGCCATTCGGAATCATTGTTGCTGCCATGTCATGGACACCGTTGGGTTATTTACTTATGACGGCAGAACCGGTTTGTGTGTAATTCTGAGTCCAATGGCATAGTAGTATGTAAATACACCGAAATCGTCGACCGGGTTATGAAACGTCACTGAATAATGAGGTTGCAACATACATTAGGGATGTCTTATACATTACCTGACTCGATGTACCACGTTGTTTAGCCCGAAAGTATTAGTGGAGATCAGATTGAGACATAACATACGTTCAGGTTACGTTTGTCACTAGGTACGCTTGAAGCTATTACGAGTTCACCTTAGTCGATAAACTAGAACGAGACAATTACCAGCGTCCAGGTAGGCTACCTTGAGTCCCAAACTGCAAAACAGAAGACTTGATAAGCGTAGAAAGTATATTCTACAAACACCCAGGAATCACACAATACAATCAAGCACACAACTCTCGTTTATTTATACATCAGTCACGAAAATAGCACACTAAAATACACAGCAGCCAATCACAGCCGTGGATTTTCCTGGTGGGAAATGAAATCCCAAGGACAACCGATCAGCCCATTCTCGCAAACGTGAAATCCAAGATAAGGCATTTATCAAGCCAGTTCTGGGGATCTAACATCCCCAACAGTTCATAAAGTCATTAGCTTCTGGACTTAGAAGTGTGCAGCCTTCCTCGATGATGTTCACTATACAACCTCAAACTACAGTAGGGTAAGTACAGTATGAAATTTTATTTTCCATGGAACACGGACTGTTTAAATTTAAAACGTCACAAAGCTAGAACATTCACATTACATTAAAACTTATTAAGTATATTAGTTTTAGCTACTGGCAATCGAGTAGTAACGATGATCTTGGATCTAAGTTACTGAACTTAGGTAGGCTCGTCAAGGTTAAGCTTTCGAAATGTGGGATACCGAAACACAAGCGTTAGTCTCACTCACTAGAACTCAGAAAAGTGTGGTGCCTGCTACGTATAAGTAGTATGTGACGTGAATAAAAACCTAATGTCTGGCATCAGAAGATGGGGAAAGATCAAGAAAGGAAGAGTGGGAACACAACGGGATTTGTATGAAACGCATGAACAGTGAAATGTCATACAATGGATTGATGTTTGCAAAAGGAACAGTCCAGTTCGATATGATGGACTGATATTTTGCAAATTAACTCTGTAATTTGAGATAAATACAATTCGGTTGCCCTCACCTGAGTTCTCCTTTACTACATTTTGGCGCCCAATGGTTATCATCAGAGTTGGGTAATGGAGATTGATAGGTTCATGGTTTTAACGAAGTTCAACAGTCTCCACTATGCCAAACTCATATTGATGTCTTTATATAGTTCGGTAGACGGAATCCTAATGATGTCAGTCGCACTGCAAGATTAAACCTAAACACGTTGCTTCGAGAACGTATTAGTGGTTTCTCTCTCAAGTTTCGTATCAATCTTATGCTGTTAGTTGTGATTCCAAAAGTTATGAAATAAGTCTGGTTCATATATTCCAGTGTGTCAACTTGACTGCAGTAAATTGGTTAAGGTGTATCATCGTTGTAATGTACGGGGAAAGTTAGGGACATGCTGGTTTGATGGCAAAAAAGTACTCTCTTTCTTGAAAGAACACAAACTTGGAAATTAGAGCTGTAGAGACACTGTGACGAAAATGTTGGAATTTATCTTAACCGTTCACTGACAGCATAACAACCTTTGATATCTACGTACACGAATTACTTGTATGGTGCATTTTGTTTTCCATTCAGCCAGTCAGATGAAACATAGAACTTCGTACGTAAGTACATCAGTTCATGCTGCCATATCACATTAGCAGCACAGAGACGCAAATGTCAAATCAAATCCCGTAGTGAAGATAGATAGTAGAGGTATTTAATGGTAATGAAGAAGACCAGGGTTAGAAGATATTATTCCAGAAGTATAATTCAGTGAGATAAGGTTATAAAGACAAAGATAGAGGTGCTGACGAATCTAGAAGATTAGGATTTGAGAGAGCACAGCAAATGGATGCATTTGCGCAATTGCAAATGGTTTTGAGCCATGTCATTCAAGGTCTCTAACCATTGGTGACTTCCGTCTCGCGGACCCCTATCAGGTACTCTACATATACCAACATGACTCAGTCCACTTGTCACTGACTTCATGTATTTCTGCCATGTTTTGGTTTGGCCGCCCCTAGCTTTCTTCCAACCTACTCCTGCACCACAAAACATAGCTCGTCGAGGCAGTCGGTGGTTAGGCATTCGTAACACGTGTCTCGACCACCTCAACTGATGAAGTTTCAGCAATTCATCTATTGATCTGCCATCCTTACCTAGTACTCGTTTTGTTTTCCATAAAACCATTAAATCTCTTTCGCAAATAAGCCTACCTTTTTTCGACAGAATTATATGTTTTGAGATGAACACAGATGCTTGGTTCGTCACCAAGTATGCTAGAAAGCTATTACGGGTTCACCTTAGTCGATAAACGCGAACGAGACAATGAACCAGTGTCCAGGTAAGCTACCCTGATCCAATGATTAACCAAAAGTCTTGATATAGCAAAGAAAGTATGTTCTAAAAACACCCAGCAACACAATGCATTCAAGCATACCAATGGCGTTGTTTATACAACATAGAAACCTCGTTAGGACAGTCACAAAAATAGCACACTAAAATACACAGCAACCAACCACAGCTAAGAATTTTCCTCGTGGGAAATGAAATCTCAAGGTCAGCTGATCAGTCCATGCTCACAAACGAAAAATCTAAATTAAGACACTTATCAAGCGAGTTCTGGGGGATCTAACGTCCCCAACAACAGAGTTGGAATATATCGGTTCTAGTTGCAATGCCAGCGATTGTATTCATTGAGTGCTGTTAAAAAAACCTCTGTCGATTCACATAAACAATGTGTTATTATTTACAATTGATCAATCACTGGATAGATAGTGTGACCGATGTCACGAGTGTCAAGTTCCGCTTAGTGCTGAACGACAGAAGTCGATCAGGTTGTAGTGTGCCCACGAATCTAGGTGACTTGGTATTATTAATCCACACGCAGGAGATTCGTCACTACCAAAAGTGATCAGCCTATTGAAGATTCATCTTATTTCTACATTAGGTCGATCGAGGCTCAGATATCTCAGTAGTATCGTCTCCTCAGATTGTGAAGTTCGAGCTAGCCAGTGAGCTGAAGTTCCTAAGAGATTACAGGTATAACTTGCTGATGAGTAGAGTGCCAACTAGCGCATGATTCCAACGAGGATGGATTTTCTGTTGACGACTACTTCCACCTGCCGCTTTAAAATGCAGTGATTCTGATATGCCTGCATGTAAACACGTCATTTTGACATACTTGAACTATTACGAGTTTACCTAGTCGGAAAACGAGAGCGGTCCAGAAGAGAATCAAGATCCCGGACTAGGGATCCGGGACCGGGTCCTGGTCATAAAACGTTACAAATAATGCGTATTTATACATTTTGGTCGAATAGGAAACAGCATCGAAATCTGTGACATTGACAATTAAGACCACCAATAGGAAGCAATATTTGAAGTGACAGTGATAGTCAGGACAACCAATAAGAAACAACATTGGAGCAGGTGACATTGATATCTACTAGGACGACCATAAAATTGACCAGTAGGAATTGACCAATAAAAAAGTTCTCTTAGGCTATTTATTGGATGAATGAATATCTTAACAGCATCAAAACTAATTACAGATCAACAGAGATCAACTTTTTTCTATCTATAAATCATCAATCAGCAAAATAACTTACTTTTAATACCTTTTGTCTTTTTACTATCCATATGAACATCTGCTTTATTTTGATTGATTTTACCAATCTCTCCTTCATGTCCCCCAACTAATTCATTAGTTTTTAATTGTTTTAATAATTCTGTTTTTTGTTGTATCATTGTCGAAGTTAATTCAGCTAAATGTTTTATAGTACTAATTAAATCATCGGAACGATTCAGTAGATTAATATCTATTGAATAAGAAAAGAAAAAGTAATAAAACAATTAGTCCCTTTTATAAATTTTGATCGAATAATTGGGAAGACGTAATTGATCTGAAAAATGTTGTGATGTATTTGCGCGCTATACACTGTTCGAACAATCTGATCACACACATACAGACACTTGTCAAGGCATTTTGATATGAAGATGAATAAAAGATCAATAAAAGATCAATAAAAGTTCGGATAGACGACATAAGGTGATCATTGTAAATGAAAGCAAGAGAGAAAATGAACGTATTGTGAAAAGAATAAGAAAGGGTAGGAACATTGTTACATTACCCCCTAGACTTAAAGATTATCAGGGTAAATTCAAGGTTCTAACAAATTGTTGCTGTACACACATAAGGTGGTTTATAACTGACGAATAGACAAGGCCTCTCCATAAACCTCAAAATTCATCCTTAAACATTTCTATTCAATGTTTCGAAGGCTGTCTTGATGACAATCTTATGCCCTGTCTCAATTATATGTTTAGCGATCGATGAACATGGTTTTCTATTTCCAACGCTAATCGGCTCATCTGACGTTAACTGACATTTGAAGCCACTTAGGTATATGTTCCATAACCCTTGATTGCAAAGTCCGATTACTCCTCCCTATGTTTAGTGTGTGTCCACACAAACATGGAAATTGATAAATACAATGGGATGTGATGTATTCATCATTCGAGCAACGTTTAGGTCTATGTGAAATCATGGCCTTAGTCTTTTCAATGATAATCAGTTTAGCAGAGTTGTATGTTTTCTCTATGGCTGCTTTTAGTCTCTGTTTTATTATTAGACCATTTGCTTCACCTCTAAATGATATAAAGTGATATAAACCTTTTTCTTCTCAGCAGAATGAAAAACTTGCTTTTATCTTAACTGATCTCTACACTTATTGATGAACTTTACCGGATAGCCATTTGAAATCAATGCTTCAGTTAAGAATTTTGCATCGTCGTCAAATTTATATCCGTGGTGCAAATCCTTTGTGACATCAAGACATCAAGACAGCCTTCAAAACATTGTATAGAAATGTTGAAGGACGAATTTTGAGGTTTATGGAAGCCTGTCTATTCGTCAGTTATAAACCACCTTATGTGTATACAGAAACAATTTGTTAGAACCTTGAATTTACCCTGATAATCTTTAAGCCCAGTGTAATGTGATTATTTTCCTACCCTTTCTTATTCTTTTCACACTACGTTCATTTTCTCTCTTGCTTTCATTGACAATGATCACCTTATGTCGTCTAGCCGTACTTTTATTTAATTGACCTTTTATTCATCTTTATATCAAAATGCCTTGACAAGTTTTTCAGATCAATTACGTCTTCTCACTGTTCTATTAAAAAAACAGAAAAATAAACAATTTTAATCGATGAGCATGACTCTTTCAAAAAACTGAATTGTCTTGTCATTAAGGATTCAATTTTGAAACTTAATATTAGTAATCAGTAAGTATCATTATTTGTGGTCTTTATGACTGCTGATTAGACCAACCAAGACAAGACCTGTTGAAGAAGTTGTTTTGTCAAGTACAATGCAAAAATTCTGAAAAGCTGCTAGTAGACAGAATGATCATCTGTGAATGTGATATGTAGAAAGTGATGCTGATCAAGTAAATTAAGGCGCGTCAAGTCAATGTGTTCAGTTTAGCATTGTAGCTAGTAGTTCATCATGTTGACTGAATACAGTATGCAGATTGTTCGACGTTTAGACAGACAGACAGATACAACGTAGAACTTCGTATATACATACATCGGTTCATGTTGTCATGCCCCATCAGTACAGAGACGCAAATGTCAGTTCAAAACCAACAGTGATAGTAATAATAGAAGTATTAGCAGTAATGGAGAAGATTAGGGAGCGAAGATATAATTCAAAAAGTGTAATTCAGTACGATAAATTTAGAAGGAGAAAGGTAGAGATTATGAGGAATTCCGAAGCTTAGAATTTCATAGTACACAAAGAGTGGATGCACCTGAGCCATTGCAAACGATTTTGAGCCATGTCATTCAAGGTCTCTAAGTATCGTCTTGTGGACCCCAACCAGGTAGCCCACATCTACCAACATGACTCAGTTCATTTGTCAGTGACTTCATGGATTTGTGCCATGTTTTGGTTTGGCCGCCCCTAGCTTTCTTCCAATCTACTCCTACACTGCAAAACATAGCTCGTCGCGGCAGTCGGTGGTTAGGCATACTTAACACATGTCCTAACCAAGTCGTGGAGATAATATAAGTACTAGAGGGTGTAGGAAGGATTTGATTTTGACCAATCTGGTCTCGTGTGCTGGTACGGGTATGATGGCGGTTGTCACTTCCCAGCTGCCCACACCGTGGAAGATTGTTTCTTGAGGGACCTGAAAAGGAAGATAGATTAGTGTTGGTCTTAGAGACCTGGGTGCGTGACCGCAGAGCCCACGGGACAACTGCTTGAGGCCGGTCACGCACGGCCTTTCGATGAAAGGATTTTTGAGTATCAGCTCCGCTCTTGAAAGCCCTTAGTGGGCACCCTTACCGCCAGAGACGGAAATCCGTGAGGTAGGGTGAGGTGAGACATTTTTAGGGTCGAACTTTTCTAACCCTTCCTTCCTTGTGAGAAGGTAACATCGCTGCAGATGCTGGTTGTCCGAGGGAAACACCTGTCACACTACTCTGCAGTCAGCAGACCGTGAGTAGGTGCTGTTAGTCTCATCGATCTCCAGTCGACCTTCCTTGCATGGTAGAACCTTCAGGAACATATGTTCCAGCAAATATAGCTCGGTTGGGTCATCACGATAGGCAAGCTCGACCACCACGTCAAGGTAGCAGCTACGGTCGGGTTGTTTGGCTTTCATGGAAACCAATCTAAATCTATTTCGTAAAACGCACGTTTCGTGTGAGTTTTTCTCAACAAAACGTGAACTGTACCACTGAGGATATTCATAAAATGATAAAGATTGTTTGTGACGAAAACATATGGTGAAGGGAATGGAACTTTCATTTGAATTAAATGGTTTACTGAGGGCTATGAAAATTGGAACTTAGGATTCGTGTACCAGAGAACTATTAACCTCTTGTGTTAGTCAACAGTGTATTTGTGTCGTGTGTCTTGTGTTTTTCCATCATCGATTCAGTCTACTTATTTCTGATGATTAATCATCTCCGATGAACGTGAAGCACTGAGGCAGATGTAGTCTGTAGGAGGAAATATGCACTTAACGCACATTTTACAACTTTTATTAATCCAAAGTTACTGGCAAATAATTTTTGATATTTGACAAGTTTATTTTCACAATTCGTCATAACCTACCAGTATCCTGTGATTGTATTATGCCAACAGCCTCCTGTGTACTATCTTCAAGACGTTGTTGTATATTCATCTGATCTTCTAAATCATCCAGCAAGATACGTCGAAATCGTTTTAAAATTTCACTTGTCGGAACATAAGCAGTTAACAGTTCAATCTGTTGTTTCAATCGTACTGATGAACGAAGTCCTGGTGTATCTTTCATCTTTTGCTAAACCAACCAAAATGAAATCAATAAAGTATTTAGAGTATTAACTGTAGGGATTTGTGTTTCAAGAAATGAGACAGACAAACACACACACACATACACGCACAAAATAACCACATAATTATGCACAACATTTGATCATATTTCGAATCAGCCGCATCCGCAGTGTACAATTCCAACAGCTTAATTCTCATTGAAATACTAATGATGATGTTCAGAAGAACAATGGGAGCATCTGTTACGCCTGCATGTAAACACGTCAACTTGATATGCTTGAACTATTACGAGTTTACGTAGTCAAAAAACCAAAGGGCGAGGATTGAGGATCCGGTGACACGACATACTACTCAAATCCAATTATCCCAACCAACCCCATATTGAGTGAAAATAAGAAGACGTGATATGAAGTAGAACCTGTATTCGACAAGCATCCAGAAAGTACGAGGTCCGAATCCAGAAGAGAATAAGGATCCCGGACTAGGGGTCCGGGACCGGATCCTAGTCCTGGTCGTGGTCATAAAACGTTACAGATAATGCGTATTTATGCATTTTGGCCGAGTGAGAAACAGCATCGAAATCTGTGACATTGACAGTTAATACGACCAATAGGAAGTAACATTCGAAGTGACATTGATAGTCAGGATAACCAATAAGAAACAACATTGGAGCAGGTGACATTGATATCCAACTAGGACGACCATAAAATTGACCGGTAGGAGGAGTGAACCAATAGGAATTGACCAGTAAAATTCTCTTAGGTTATTGGATGAATATCCTAACAGCATCAAAACTAAATCATCCAGCTCGTATAATGTGCATTGAGTTCAACATCCTGATCCTAGGGTCAAACAATCTCACAACATCAAAGTAACAATTGATGGTCACATATCAATCAATCAACCAATCAATCACTGATCACAAAAACTTAAGATCAGTGCATACTTGAGCTTCTGCGTAAACACGTATAAATTGATCTAATTCATTTTCAAGTTCTTTATTGCGTTGTTTAATTTTCTCTTCTGCTGTACAATTCTCTCTTAATTCATGTTGTAAACGTTTATAATCATTGGCTAGAAATTTGACACGATCAATTAATTCTTCATTTTGACTTAAATTTTGACTGGAATCCGGTTCAGTAATTGACGTCGTCTGTTTTGAACTTGACATTTGACAATCTTTATTCTCAGTGGATTCAGATTTGGCAGGTAATGATGTATCACTACCATCTACTGACTTATTAGAAGTGAATTGATTCTCAGATATGACAGCGAATACAATACGCATTACATGATTACGTAAACGTTCAAGCTATAAATAGAGAGAAGAGGAACGGGCAAAAACAAAACGTGTTTAGTGGTGTAAATCAGCAATCATCCGGTTAGGGGAATGGTTAAAAAGATACAATTTATTATGAAATGGTGGAGAATACTTGTAGCTCAGGTGGATGATTGTGGTGGTGTTTCGTTCTCTGAGCTGGTTGTTTTGGTTGTGGAGCTTTCACTGTTCTTCTTATGAACAACATCATCAGCACAAACTTCAGATAGCAGAAGTGAAGCATTCGAATTTCTCCACGTTTGATCTGTATTTAACAGCAACCAATCAAGATCGAGGTTAGCAGAACAAGCTACAGGTCAAACGTGGAGAAATTCGAATGCTTCACTTCTATCTGAAGTTTGTGCTGATGATGTTGTTCATCGGAAGAACAATGATGAAAGCTCCACAACCAAAACAACCAGCTCAGAGAATGAAACACCACCACAATACAATTTATTAGCCTAGTGTTGATGTGGAGATCTTTCTCACAATAAATATTGACTAATGGGCTTAATTTGAGAACAAATACTACCACCTTTAGATGGGATTTGTTCAAGTACCATTGAAAAATTAGCAACCAATGTAGGAGGGCTGTTTCATCGCATCATCAAAACTTATTCAACAATTCTAATCGGATGATATCATCTGCCATCCTGTCAAACAAACATTTAAAAATGAGAAAAAGTTTTTCGATCAAACACTTCACATGATATGCATTGTGTTGTATTGTATTGTATTACCTCAGCAAGAGCTTCATAATTATCAAGTTGATGATTTCGAACAGAACGTTCCAATTCCATAATTTTTGTACGCATCAATTTTGATTCTTTGCGTAATTTATTTTCTGTGACTAATTTACAATCAACATCTTGCATCAATTGAAGAATATTGATTTCCATTTTGTCTAATTCATCTTGTAATGAATGACAACGCATTTCTGCAGTCTTGTATTTCTGAAAAAAACAAAAAATAAAAAGCCAGTGAGCGTAGCTTAGTTATACGGTGGTTGTCGCGAGACTGGGAGAGTGATTTTCTGTGGAAGAAGCTTCATGCATAAGTTACCTGAGATGAAATACGAGAATCTAGTATCCGAAATCCAATTATATAAGCGAACAAGCGATTAGGTTACAAGAAATCTGTTTATTTAAATCAGGATTTAAATTTTGGCGTTTAATATCTGGTATCATATATTTATGTGGTATTGTTATTCTGATCCAGCAAGAAAGTCTGACTAGTATTTGTGGCAGATCGATTATTCTTAAAAAAGGTATATTACTGTTTTCAAATATGACTAGCTTACAAATGAACAAAAGAAATTATGAGACGGTTGATAAAATACGACAAAACAGGTTGGCTGTAATCACAGATTCAGAGAAAAGAATAAAGTTGGAAAAAAAGCGATAATATATTTATCACGGCTTGAAAGAAAAAAGAAAAGAAATTGATGAAGTTGGATGAATTGAAAACAAGAAACAGTCAGTGCTGCAACAACGTTGGGAGAAAAGCGTAAACAACACCTTTGACAAAACAACGAACTCCCAAGAAATGCGCACCTATACCATGCATGTAGGAATTGAAATACGGAAACAGATAATTCAAGGTACAGTGTGTCATTGGTAGCATAATAAAGAAAACGATTTTGTACAAAATCGTTCAAGAATATACATTTCAACTTGAAGTGGAAAAAACAAACCTTATTCGGTTATTTAAAACAATCAATAAACCTGGTTACTATACTTTTAGTAAACCTTGAGCCTTGAACAATCATGTGTTCACAAGAATCTAAGTGTTCCCCTGATGCCATGTTGTTGTAAAGCAGAGGAGAGACGTCATGCCATTTTATATATGCAATCTTGACAAATTTCTAGTGAAAAGATGAATGTTTCACATGCTTCTGTTATGTGCAGGTGCGGCACGCACCATTCAAATGGATTTCCATTTCCCTCAAAAATTTCATTTGTGAACTACACAGTCACCTCTAAATATAATGTTTGTAACATCTATCAATTTACTTGCGTCAGCTAAATAAGGCAAAGTGGTCATATTTACTTTGAGGATCTTTGACACACAACTTTAAGACGTCCTAAACTATAATCATTTATAGAATGGTATTTTGTGAAGATATTCACTTTTTCAACTCACTGCTGACTCAATACAATTCTCATTTACATGTGACCAGAAAGCTTGTAAAAGGTATTAATTCTTGTATTTTGACATTTTTTCGGCTATCATGGTTCATTTTAGTCAGAAACAGTTTCCACATGCCAACCTACAGTGCATGACAGTTTTTGGTGTGTCATTGTTGTAAATAATGTATCGCTATCTATTGTAGAATTAGTAAAAGCTTCACTCCCACTGAAGGACGGCCCTTTACCGTTAAAATTTGATAGACACTAAAGGATTAGACAGGCATGATATTATCAACTAATCAGTAAACAGTCAATTTAAGGTATTTCAGCTGTACAGGATACAGACAAGGACCGAATAGCTCAATTGCATTACAGTCAAATCATCTAGCTCGGAAAACACAACATGAATAAAAATTTCCATCTGAGCTAAAAATATTTTATATCATTTCAAATCCTGATAACTATTTTATTTGAGATTTGAAAACTCATCATAAAAGTAAAATGAAGGAAACAGCCTTATTTTTTCCTTATTTACTTGGCTTGCACTAGGCAATGCTAATTAATAGCTTAGTCAACAAAATTTGCCATTCTAACATCAAAAACATATAAATTGTATTTATATATCATGACTTACTGAGTTATCTGCCATGTTGGTCAAACCGATTTTTTAAGCATTCATAAAATCGGTGTCGTTACGCTGATTTGTTACTAAGCTGCGATTTGAATTTGATGTATTAAAACAACCTGACCCATATTCAGTGAAATGCCATAATAACTAAGAATAGTAAACTCTCACCGTTTGCATCCACAAAACTACACTTTCTTTGTCTTACTGCTGTTGACTCACACATAGTTACCCTATCGGCTAAGATAATCAGAATCCCATTCAATTACAGTGGGCTAGCTGTATCTAGAGGCGAATAAATCCCAAAAGTAAATAGTTCTATAAGTCATTGATGTTGATGATGACCTTAATAATTTTACTGGAAACACCTAGATTAGAACCGAAAGGTCACGCATCCTAACCAGATCACCGTTGTGTACACCACGCTACGCAATCCTTCTCAACTACTTACAGGTTTACATTTCACACTTTTCGACATATTGTATGTCCTCACAATGTATGTTCTTTCTCCCCTATTTGCGAATTCTGGTTCTACTGGGTTTAGGATATTCGATTAGGAAAGGGTCGATAAAAATGCATTGTTAAACCCTCAACGTCCTTGATATACTGTTTGGAAAGCACGACGTGGTCTGATCTACTAAACATAAGACTTTGAGTCTATGTCAAGACAGTTCTGTTGCATGGAGCGGAAACTTGGAGAACTACCAAGATACAACTGTTTATTAACAGTTATATACGCAAAATACTTCGAATTGGTTGTCCAAACAGTATCAGCAACAACGTACTGTTTGAGAAAACAAACCAGATTCCATCGGTGGAGATAATCAGGAAGAAGCGGTGGAGGTGGATAGGACGAACATTAAGAAAAGCACCCAACTGAGTCACAAGACAAGCCCTCAATTGGAACCCTCAAAGTCAGTGGGAAAGAGGAAGACAAAGGAGAACATTACGGAGAGAAATGGAGATAGATATGAGAAGAATGAACAAAATTTGTACCGAACTGGAAAGGGAAGCTCAGGACAGAACTAGTTGGAGAAAACTGGTAGGCGGAACATGCTCGATTGTGAGTAACAGGCGTAAGTAAGTAAGTAATGTCGGAACACGCACATTATATATTAGGAGTTACAACTTCAAAACCATCATCTTTCAGTCCACAGTATTTTAACCTGATTAGACCATGATCATGTTCTCCTGTCCAAAAGCTGGCCACCATCGGAAAGCGTGACTGACCCACATTACGCTTAGTACTTAAGCTGGTGATATTTCTGAAACTTATGACTCTCTAGAACATTCAATTCTTAGACGTGGAGATTATTGGTAGACCAGTACTGGGACAGTTACTCCGTGACATGGATTTGCGATTTGCGATCTTGCATCGCCGCCGGATTATTTAGGTTACAGTACGGTGGATTGAAAGATAAGAGTTTAAGAGTTGTACGTGCGTGTGTGCATGTTCCGACATACTAAAAATAAAATATTTAACCAAACAAAAAAATTTCAAAACACAAAAATAATATAAAGAATATGTGTTTATTTAGGCGTTGCATCAAGAAATAGACTCAAAGTCTTATGTTTAGTAGATCAGACCACGTCGTGCTTTCCAAACAGTATATCAAGGACGTTGAGGGTTTAACAATGCATTTTTATCGACCCTTTCCTAATCGAATATCCTAAACCCAGTAGAACCAGAATTCGCAAATAGGGGAGAAAGAACATACATTGTGAGGACATACAATATGTCGAAAAGTGTGAAATGTAAACCTGTAAGTAGTTGAGAAGGATTGCGTAGCGTGGTGTACACAACGGTGATCTGGTTAGGATGCGTGACCTTTCGGTTCTAATCTAGGTGTTTCCAGTAAAATTATTAAGGTCATCATCAACATCAATGACTTATAGAACTATTTACTTTTGGGATTTATTCGCCTCTAGATACAGCTAGCCCACTGTAATTGAATGGGATTCTGATTATCTTAGCCGATAGGGTAACTATGTGTGAGTCAACAGCAGTAAGACAAAGAAAGTGTAGTTTTGTGGATGCAAACGGTGAGAGTTTACTATTCTTAGTTATTATGGCATTTCACTGAATATGGGTCAGGTTGTTTTAATACATCAAATTCAAATCGCAGCTTAGTAACAAATCAGCGTAACGACACCGATTTTATGAATGCTTAAAAAATCGGTTTGACCAACATGGCAGATAACTCAGTAAGTCATGATATATAAATACAATTTATATGTTTTTGATGTTAGAATGGCAAATTTTGTTGACTAAGCTATTAATTAGCATTGCCTAGTGCAAGCCAAGTAAATAAGGAAAAAATAAGGCTGTTTCCTTCATTTTACTTTTATGATGAGTTTTCAAATCTCAAATAAAATAGTTATCAGGATTTGAAATGATATAAAATATTTTTAGCTCAGATGGAAATTTTTATTCATGTTGTGTTTTCCGAGCTAGATGATTTGACTGTAATGCAATTGAGCTATTCGGTCCTTGTCTGTATCCTGTACAGCTGAAATACCTTAAATTGACTGTTTACTGATTAGTTGATAATATCATGCCTGTCTAATCCTTTAGTGTCTATCAAATTTTAACGGTAAAGGGCCGTCCTTCAGTGGGAGTGAAGCTTTTACTAATTCTACAATAGATAGCGATACATTATTTACAACAATGACACACCAAAAACTGTCATGCACTGTAGGTTGGCATGTGGAAACTGTTTCTGACTAAAATGAACCATGATAGCCGAAAAAATGTCAAAATACAAGAATTAATACCTTTTACAAGCTTTCTGGTCACATGTAAATGAGAATTGTATTGAGTCAGCAGTGAGTTGAAAAAGTGAATATCTTCACAAAATACCATTCTATAAATGATTATAGTTTAGGACGTCTTAAAGTTGTGTGTCAAAGATCCTCAAAGTAAATATGACCACTTTGCCTTATTTAGCTGACGCAAGTAAATTGATAGATGTTACAAACATTATATTTAGAGGTGACTGTGTAGTTCACAAATGAAATTTTTGAGGGAAATGGAAATCCATTTGAATGGTGCGTGCCGCACCTGCACATAACAGAAGCATGTGAAACATTCATCTTTTCACTAGAAATTTGTCAAGATTGCATATATAAAATGGCATGACGTCTCTCCTCTGCTTTACAACAACATGGCATCAGGGGAACACTTAGATTCTTGTGAACACATGATTGTTCAAGGCTCAAGGTTTACTAAAAGTATAGTAACCAGGTTTATTGATTGTTTTAAATAACCGAATAAGGTTTGTTTTTTCCACTTCAAGTTGAAATGTATATTCTTTAACGATATTGAGCAATATCGTTGTCTATTATCCTAGTAACGTCAACCTGTACCTCATTTTATATGGTTCCAATTTCAATTCGTTCATGCTTGGTTTTAGTCATGGACGTTTTGTGTGTACAATAGTTTGGATCAATTTTTGTGTCATGTTTATAACACACAGAGTTCAAACTTTGGTTAGTTGAATATAACTAATAATTTTTAGGATTCCCGAATGAAATTTACTGTGGTTGTATATAGATAAGGCTTCTAAATCAGACATTTACTCTAAATGAATCGTTTTCTTTTCACTTACTTGGGATTTCATCTGTTTCACGTCTATAGAATGTTGTTCTATTAAGATGAAGTCTCTGTTATATGAATGTGAATACCAAAAACATTACCAAAACCGGTACTAGCTGTATTTTTAGGATATAATTTTTCAATCAAATAAAACTAATGAATTATTTCATCATTTCGGTAGTTGAACACCAATGACGTTATCTGGATATCGATCATTTATGCCCTCTCTAATTGATAATCCTCCTCGAACAAATAACGTGTCAAATGCTGCTGTCATTCAACCATTCAATCAACCTGCCTATAACATAGAACAAGAAAATATGTTAACCAGTACTCGTCCTGTTTCACCGAATACCCCACAAGTCAGTTTACGCTCCAAGCGTCGAGATGGTAAAAAGTCTAATGGTAATGTTCAATATTTTAAATTATTTGTTTAAACTAGATAGAGAACGTCAAGCATTAGGTGAACTTGTTACTCAATTACAAAAAGATGTAACTAATAAGGATGCACAAATTAGTAGACTAGCTAAAGAATTAAATCATGTGAAAAGTCAGTTATCGGAAAAAGATGCCGGGACGAATGCATCGAATTCGAAAGTAAGCAAGTAATTCTTGTTACTGTTTTGAAATGATATTTAAAAATGCTGTCTACGTGAGTTCTAATGATTGTATGAAACCTATTGAAATCATGAACCGATCAATCAATCAATGTTAGAGTACCATTGGAATCGTGGGAGCAATGGACGGCGGGTTCTTCATAGGATTGGACTGTCCAGTGCCAATGCGCACACACGGGACACAGCTACCAGGGATGGAACCCAGGGTGTTGTGGATTGATTGGAGTTACACACTTACAACATCTGAATGCCAGCTCAGTGGTGGAAAGATTAAGTTTTTGCGAGTCAAATCGAATATTCTAGGTTTGGTTCTCACGTCGAGGTGCGTATAGTTCGTGGTGTAGAGCATTCTCATTCTAACTTGAAAGGGCTGTTTATTTAGTGCTTCCACGTTTGCAACACTGGTATATAGTTGATCATTCCATGGGTTTCAGTGAGATTTATCTATCTCCCTAACCAAAAAATTGTAGACTTGTATGAATCAAAAACTAGCACCCGTAACAGAAATAATGGTGGATTTTGAATCACTGGGCAAGTGATTTATCCTCACTTCAAATGTATCTGTATTACAAACCTAGGGAGTGCAAGTTTCGTGATTTAAATATTTCTTTCTTAGGCTAATAAATTTGAATTCATGAGAATGAATGAACAATGTCATAGATTTTATAAATAGGGATCTTACAATATCAGAATGATGCTGATGATTTACATGTAATCTGAATTATAAATGTCAAAAATAGTTATGTAACTAAGTTACGCACTACAATGAAGATGTAAATTTTGATAATGAAATGTATTCAATAAAATGTTCTAGGGTCTGTTGAAATGTGAATATCTGGTCTTTACACTCATGCGCAGATCACATGAGGAATTTTGTGGCAAACCAGTTAGATTGGTTTAAAGCCAGTTCTCAGATCCTACGTAAGATCTTAGTCAATCTGATTGTATGTAAAACGGAACCGATCATCTATCAGTTCGGTAGATGCTACTGAAATCTACTGTTTATCCCTAACCTTGGCTGTCATTCGAAGCTGTCCTAGGATGGGTATCACTTTTCCTAGTGGTTCCTGAAAAATATTCATAACTTTGCTTTTGTTAGTCAGGACTCTATGGGGTTTATTTCATATGTCTTTTTTACGTCCACTAACGTTGTACGTACACCTGTCACTCGTTATGGAGCATAGGCTACCGTACAGCATTCCAGACATGAAGCGCAAATCGAAAGGGTTCTTTATTTTGACAAAGTAAGGTTGAGTACGTAATTCTACTGGGATCTTGTATGCATGTTCCGGAGACGCAGCATACATCTATGGGACGAGATTCCAGAGTCCTACATAAGGAAGCCTCTAGTTCTATTTGGTAATAAAAGCTCGAATATATATAGCTTAGAGAAAGAGATCGAATCACTTGAATCAGCAGCACGAGGTGTTAAAGGAGTGCGAGAAAAGTTAATTGAGGAGGGAATAGGATGTGTGGTAAGGATTTTATTGCCATCAAGTTGATCTGTTTTGCAGTTATGTGTATGAGGGCGGATGTCACTTCCAGGCTGCTCACTGCTAGAGATGGAAATCCGTGAGATGGATTGGGGTGTGACATTTTGCGGGTCGACTTTTTCTAACCCCCTCCTTCCTCGTGAGAAAGCAGCATCACGGCAGATGCTTGTTGTCCGAGGGGAAAGCCTTACTGCTATCACAGCCTTCTACAGTCAGCAGTACAACTCCGCCCATAGACCTTGAGTTACTGCTTTTAGTTTAATCGTTCTCCGATCGACCTACCAGGCATAGTAGAACCTACATCAACGTGTATTCTAGTCAATATAGCTCAGTTGGGTCATCATCATAGGCAAACCCGACCACCTCTTTCCAGTTCTTCATGGTTACTATTCATTCTTTTGATGTCTACTTTGAGTTTCGGGTGTGATTTGCTCTCTGGTTTGCCTTTTGTCCTTTTGCATTGAGGTTTCGAAGTTAGAAGTTGAGTGGTGACCCAATCTCGCCAGTTCATTAACAGGTGTTCTATCCACTCCCAAAGTTCTTTCTAATTTGTTCCTCAACTGGAATCTGATTTGTTTTCTGTCACGGTAGGTTGTTGCTGACGGTACGTGGCTAATAAATTAGGAATATCTTGAGTAGGCAACCATTAATAAATACCTTAACCATTTTCGATGATATTTTGAGTGGTTTTTCAAGTTTTCGCTCCATTCAATAGCAGTAGCTTGACATTTTTGTTGAAAATTCTGACTTTGGTGATGGTTGGAAGTTTTTTTGTGTTGAAGATGTAGAAGAGGTTGCTGCTACACTGACAATCTACTCTTGTATTCTTTGCTGTGTACGGGATAGAAGAGCTAGGTTATCTGTGAAGTCCAAATAGTACAACCTCATCCGAGCTGTCTACTGCTTTCTGTTCTGCTACTGATATTTTAACTTCTTCAGAATCCACTAGACCATCAGGAGACAGAAGGGGTGAGAGTAAACAAACTAGTCTGACACCGTTGTTCATTTGGAACGAGTATGTGAGCTGTCCTTCATACATGATTTTGCAGTAAAGTTCATCGTAAGAATTCCATGATGGTGACTATCTTCTTAGATAAACCATGAAGCCGTAGAAACTTCCAGAATGTTATCCTGTCCACGATGTCAAATGCTTTTTCCTAGTCAAGGAAGCTGATGTATACTGGTGAATTCCGTTCCCTTGATTGGTCTTGCGGGTTAGGTATATATATATTCCCTTTCATTTTCGTATATCCTACTTCAGCAAACCCCGTTTATGCAACTCCGTTAAAAAAAGCCAAGTGCTGATTCAGTTGGATGAGTTTATTTCATGCAACGTATCACGCAAACATACTGGAGAATGAATGGCGTATAAGTAAAGTGAAACGAAGCGGAGAAGGCAAGTTAGCCAACTCAATGCTATCAATCTGTCATCCTTACTTATTACCCGCTTCCTAACAACAATACTGTTTATTCGATAGTCCCGAGATAAACGAGAAAGCCTCAGAGACATCTTTGATCGAAAACCAGTAACCTACGGATATCCTCTACCCTAACTGGCCAAATTTCACGGCCTATAGTAGGATGAAGTGAACTACTGCGCATTTTACCCGTCCATTTTTTAGGAGACCATATCTCGCCTACGCGATAAGTGACGCAGGTTGGTAAAAGCCAACCGAGCTTTCTGTTTACGTGCTGAGATTTTGTCAGTCACCAGGCCATCAGCATTGATGAGATTAGCAAGATAAGTGAAGCGGTCCACACACTTAAATGCTTCATTCTCTATCACTAGTTCAGGTGCCTATCTATATACGCCAATCCTGAAGCAACATTTTGCATTTTGACAGGGAGAATCACATCCCGAACATGATTGCATTGTCGCTTAGGGTATAGTCTGGAGACACTGCATTTTATGAGCGTCTTCACCAAGTAGAACTATGTCATCGGCATATTCCAAGTCAAAAAGCGAATCTACTTGCAAAAGGTCCACCCCTGAGAAGTCAGACGAAGCATGTCTATGACAGAGTTAAGCAAGAATGGGAGAGTGGACATCCTTGACGGACCTCGCTTGAAGTAACCAATTCCGATGACGGTCGGCGATAAGATTTCACTCGATCAGTGGTGTTCGAGTAGAGGTTTGTTAAGGGTCAGTTTACTTCTCTGGCACACTTTTCAATTGCAGACATCGCCATAGAACCTCACAGTCGATAGAATCAATTGGCAATTTGACGTCAAGGAAGACAACTATTGTCAGACGCCAGAATGTGTGTTTGTTCTAAGACCTGTCGTGGTGTGAATATATGGTCTAAGCAGCCACGTCTAGGTCAGAAACGAACCTGGTTTCTCTAATTTGTTCTTCACAAGCTCCAGTTGGGCGACGAAGTATTATCGAGGTTAACATTTCAGACGCTATGTTAATTAAACTGGTGTTCTGTGAACTGCAGAACTTTTGTCCTTTCTCATAGATTGGAACTTTCAGTGCTTGAGACCAGTCAGATGGCAGTAAGTTTGGTTTCCAGATACTAGCTAAAACATCAGTCAATCTAACTGCTAGTACTCGACCCAAGTGCTCAAATATCAGTGGTCAGCCTTTCGGGGCTTGCAGCTGTCCCTTGCCCAAAATTTCCTACAGTCTTTTCAACTTCAGTCAGTCTTGTGGGACTTACACCAGTTTGCAGTTCATGTCGACTGGAGGTCATGGGCAATGGAAGTGTGGCTGAAGGTCAGTTGAACTGGTCCCTGAAGTGTTCTGCCCATCGGTCCACTTCCTAGATTGTGGATGAATAATGGTCCCATATTTTACCAAGATAGTCTCACTTACAGTCGGACAGTTAATACCGGTTTCCTTGATAAGTGTGAGTAGTTGTCTACTGTCACCTATCGTCAATGCCTTTTCCATCTCTCTCGTTTTGTTGCCTATCACTGTTCGCGATCACGGGTCCACGACACTTACTTGAGTATAATGGTCACCAGCCATTATTACTCAATCAGAGCGCCTAACTTTTTGAAGAAAGCTAGAGAGGTTTTATGGTTAAACTCATCTGTCTCGTTTGAAATGCAGTCAGCGGGAGCGTAGGCAGCTACGACGACGATGCAAAGGTAATTTTTCATATCTTTACGAGTGATTACTGTCCCGTTCAGTTGGACAGCGCATGAGCGACTGTCTACTGGGATCCATTCTAAGAGACCCAGTTTGGCCCTAGGACTTAATATTATACCTACGCTAGCGAGTCCACGGGAAGCAACATCGAGGCTTCCAGATACACGAAGCATAAACAGTCAGCAGTACGACTTTGCCTTCGGACTTTGAACTATTGCTTTTGGTCTCATCGTTCTCCAATCGATATACCGGACATGGAAGAATCTACTTGAAAATGTATTCCAGCCAAAATAGCTCGATTAAGTTTTATTTATAACCGAGTCGAGCTCGACTATGATCATCACTAGATAGTAATTTCGAACCCGTCACTGAGCAGATAAATAAATCCAGGGTAAAGAATGTATTTGCTGGTGATTTTGTGGTGTCGAAATAACACCGAACTTAAACCAGGAAAGTGGGCGAAGGTAAAGAGCAGCTACAGAAAAGAAAGCACAGTTTAAGGATCAGTGGTACAGCAGGTTATAATAATAGATGTTTCTATTTAACAAATCACGTTCTCTTCATAAAACTAGATTCACTACAAGGTCATCACGATTGGTAAGTCCGACCACCTTTTCAAGGTACCTCCATGCTGGGGATGTTAGATCCCCAAAACTCACTTGTTAAATGCCTTATTTTGGAATTCACGTTTGCCAGCATGGGCTGATCAGTTGACCTTGAGATTTCATTTCCCAACAGGAAAATTCCTGGCTGTGATTGGCTGCTGTGTGTTTTGGTATGCTATTTTCGTAACTGTCCCAAGGACGTTTCTATGATGTATAAATAAACGAGACTTGTATGCTTGATTGTATTGTGTGATTGCTGAGTGTTTGTAGAATATACTTTCTACTCTTACAAAGCCTTCTATCTTCAGCTTGGGATTCAAGGTAGCTTGTCTGGACGCGTTTATCAACTATGGTGAACTCGTAATAGCTTCAAGCGTACCTTGTGACGAACCCTACACTCCCAATACAATTTGAAATAGAATACACGGATAAGTAAAGTTTTTGAGGAGTTCTACATAGATTTAACTTATCTATCAAACATCTCTTCATTAAATGAATTATATTTTTCCACTTACTTCAGTGGAAAGACACTTGTTTCACGAATAACAGAATGTACTAAGAATTAGATAAGATCTTAGTTGTATGTATGTATGTCTTAGAACATGTTTATTTTCAATAAATATATATGATGTATCTATATATATATATTCAGAATAATATCTGTTGTTGAACAATTTTACAATCATCTCACATTCCAATTTAAGCAACTATTGACATAAAATGTTATTTTCATTTAAACATTTTATTTTTACAGAATCAAATTACTCAACAGAATAATAAAACTAATCATTCCAGTAGTAGTACAACAATGTTGCTGTCTGGATTTCCATCATTTGCATCCACTCTAACTGATAATCCTCCTCCTAGAACAAATAACGTGTCAAATGCTGCTGCTCTCATTCAACCATCCAATCAACCTCCGTATAATCTTCAACAAGAAAATACGTTAATAACTAGTACACGTCCTGTTTCACCGAATTCCATACAAGTCAGTTTACGTTCCAGTCGTCGAGATAGTAAAAAGTCTAATGGTAATGTTTAATATTTTAAATTATTTGTTTAAACTAGATAGAGAACGTCAAGCATTAGGTGAACTTGTTACTCAATTACAAAAAGATGTAACTAATAAGGATGCACAAATTAGTAGATTAACTAAAGAATTAAATCATGTGAAAAGTCAATTGTCGGAAAAAGATTCTATTACAGATGCATCGAGTTTGAAAGTAAGCAAGTAATTCTTGTTACTGTTTTAAATGATATTTAACAATGCTGACTACGTGAGCTTCAATTATTGTATGAAACCCTATTGAAGTAATTAGCTTGTCAGCCAATGTTAGACTACCATTGGAATGGTCAGTCAGTCAGTGAGTTGCAACGTAGAACTTCGTACGTATGTACATAAAGTTCAGGTTGCCATACCACATTCGCACAGAGACGTAAATGTCAAATCAAATCCCATAGTGATAGAGATTGTAGAGGAGTTATTAATGGTAATGAAGAAGACTAGGGTTCGAAGATATTATTCAAAAAATATAATTGAGTGAGATAAGGTTAGAAAGACAAAGGTAGAGGTGCTGACGAATTCAGAAGATTAGGATTTGAGAGAGCACAGCAAATAGATGCACTTGCGCCATTGCAAACGATTTTGAGTCATGTCGTTTAAGGTCTCTAACCATTGGTGGCTTTCGTCTCGCGGACCCCAACCAGGTAGTCTACATCCACCAACATGACTCAGTCCACTTTTCAGTGACTTCATCGATTTCTGCCATGGTTTAGTTTGGCCGCCCGTAGCTTTTTTCCGACCTACTCTTACGTCACAAAACATAGCTCGTCGAGGCAGTCAGTGGTCAGTCATTCGTAACACATTTATCATTGGAATGGAGGGAGAAGTGAACGGCCGATTGTTCATAGAATGGAACTGTCCAGTGTCCGTGCGCAAATACGACACAGCTTCCGGGGATGGAACCGAGGGTGTTATGGATTGATTGGGGTTACACACTTACACCGTTGAATGCCGGCTGAGTGGTGGAAAGATTAAGTGTTTGCACTTCAAATTGAATGTCTTGGGGTTTGATTCTTGCGTGTGGCCCCTGAGTTCGTAGTGTAGAGCACTCTCATTCTTTCACGAAATGGCTGTTTGTTTAATGCTTTCATGTTTGCAACGATGGCATATTGTTGATCATTTCATGGGTTTCAGTGAAACGTATCTATCTCTTGAACCAAATAATGATCGTTACATGAAATTTCTGAGTTTCAGTGCTACATCACAAACTAGAGACTTTTATGTATCATATCACGGCTTATCTACACCGAAGTTTCTTTCATATATAATCGGTATATTGTAGTGAGATTATGACTCCTTGTCACGAGATTATCAAGAACAATTCCGTTAAATCCAGAAATCAGAATGATGACAAGATGTATTGATTCGTGGTCTCGTGATATAGAAAGGATAACAAGACCGAAATAAAGCAACAGCTAACAACCACTGAGAATGAACGAGCAATGAGAGTAATACACTTGGAGCGCGAGAGTTCTGGTCTTTAGTACAGTTGAACAAAAAGGGGTAAAATAGAACAGTGATAGTTACAATTGTTTACAATAATAAGCGTTTCACCTTCAACTCTTGTGTTCTCTTCACAAAAGTGTACCACTACAATCTTTCAGTCTTGTAACAACGACTCTATATCTGTTCTCCATTAAGTTGGCAATCATTGACTGATCTTCCTGTCTTGTTCTAAACCTATGATAAGTTTTTCCAGGTTAAATCTTTTTAAATTTTTAGGGATAGAAATAGAAAAATAACTCCATTAATTGATAAAGTTAGACATTAACACCGTTAGATATTGGTTCAGTGGTCCGATGGTTAGGCGTTCGCCTATAATACCGAGGGGTCCTGCGTTCGAATCCTGCTGGGTGCAGCAGTGGTGGATGCGCACTGCTAAGATGAGTCCCATACCAGGACGAAACAGCCTTCTTTCAGTGCTTCCAGGTTTCTGCTAATGGTGGTCTAACATTGATAGATTCATGGTTTCAAATGAAACTTAACAATTTTCACAACAACCCCGTAATGCAAATAACTAAAACTAAATTTACTTCCAGTACTGAGATTTTGCTCTCATTTTTTTCAGAAATATGAAGTTGCAGAACGAAGATATCATTCTTTACAAGATGAATTAGACAAATTAAAAACAGATGTTATTAAATGTATTCAAATTGTGAAAAGCAGAGCAGAACTTCAAAAAGAATTAGATCAATTTATACAAGTTTATACAGCAGAAGCACAAGTATGAGCAGAGATTTTAAGTTTTTGTGGTTATTGATTGATTGATGTTTTAAAATAATGAAAAGAGATTGTTTAGCTTAGGATCGGAAAGTATTTCAATGAGAGGTGAGCTGTTGGAAATGTTCACTGCTGTTCCTGTGGAGTTGGATGGAATACGATCACACTTTCTGCATAGTTATGTGGTTACTTTGTGTGTGTGTGTGTTTGTGTTATCCGTTGTGTACTTTTCGTAAAGTCTGTCTGACGTAATAACTGCTGGTCAATTTTCCGATGGTAGAGAAAACTTCTAGCTCAGGTGGATGATTGTGGTGGTGGTGTTTGGTTCTCTGAGCTGGGTGTTTTGGTTGTGGAGCTTTCATTGTTCTTCCAATGAACAACATCATCAGCACAAACTTCAGATAGAAGAAGTGAAGCATTCGACTTTCGCCACGTTTGACCTGTAGCTTGTTCTGTTAACCTCGATCTTGATTGGTTGCTGTTGACGTTAAACCTGTCGTTGTTTACACCTTTGTTTTGATTGCATCCCCCTTTTTGATCTGTTTCTTGATCCTGTCACCTATGATTTTTCTGATTGGTTGATAAATTGGGTCAATGTCGATGTGTTTGTTGATTGCTGATTGACCTGAGTGCTAGCCAAGCTTCTAAAAATTCCCTAGTGTTCTTTATTCTCCCCCTATCCAGTATTTCCACATTGTTCCAATCGAATGTGTGTCCATAATTGTCGGTGTGTATTGATATAAGCGAAGAGTTGTCGTGGCGTTTGACTGCTAATTGAAGTTCACGTAAACGGAGCTGAAGAGGTCGTCCACTTTGTCTTATGCAGTGTTTTTCACAGTCTAAGCAATTTATTTTGTAGATGATATTTGGTGGATGGATCCAACTACTCCATTAAATCTGCCACATAATTCTTGGATAAACTCAAGGGGATTCAATTCGACAACGACGAAACGATGATATCCTTCGACGTAACAGCCTTATGCACCTCAATAGAGCCAAGCTTAGCTAAGGAGACTTTCCCTGCTCCTCATCAACGACAAAAATCTGCACAAATATACAAAGCTTCAGAGTCAAAGTCTGCTTGAACTCATCGATCTATGCGTAACAACGTATCTTCAATTCAACAACAGAGTCTACGAGCAAACAAAAGGAACACCGATGGGATCACCAATATCAGGACTCATAGTGGAAGCGGTAATGCAGAGACTAGAAGCGTCGATTCGACCAGTGATCAAGACAAAAATGTGGGTTCGCTATGTAGACGACACATTTGTTATCATCAAAAGGAACGAGCTGGAGATCAACAGTGTCTTCGTTGGCATTGAATTCACGATGGAAAAGGAATCAGTCTTTGACTCTGAAGCTTTGTATATTTGTGCAGATTTGTGTCAACAGCAACCAATCAAGATCGAGGTTAGTAGATCAAGCTACAGGTCAAACCAAAACATCCAGCTGAGGGAGCCAGCTGATAGATCCGATTAATTCTAATGTTGGTCAGGAGTGTCAAGCTTCAAAGAAGTTCTGGGGGTTTCTGTTTGTCTTTGCTGCCAATAGTTTGGAATTTTCCCAACTGACCTTAAGTACATGATTGTTTACAACAATTAAAATGAGTGTGGGCGATGTCGCATCATTCAACCGCGAAATGGTGGTGTGCATATGGAGAGACTAGACACTATTTCGTGTAGTGTTTAAACATCCGTTCCTGAAGTATGGCCTGTCTTCGTTTGTCATTGCATCAGTCATATCTTCGGCTTGCGTGGTTTCATTTGTTCACAAGGGGGTTTGATCTATATTCAGTAAATGAACAGGACACCATCAACTTTAAAAACATTGTGGTATTTTAAAAATCTAGAAATTTCAACTTATCCTTCATACAATCTCTTTGATGTAGTAATTTGCGGTCGGTTTCTCTTGTGACAAATCGGTTCAATGCCCATTAAATGTGTGTATGGTTTCGAAAATAGGTTTTCAATGCTCACTTTGATATTATTGTTTGACATACCCTTGGTCCGATCATTCTTAATCACTTGCTTTTTCTCAAGAGTACGTCAAACTGTCTCATTAACTACCACGTGCGAAAAGTTGATTCAAGCAATTAGTATTCTTATCACAACTGGCACAATTGTCCATCATACTATCGATTTGTACTTTTCATTCATTTGTGCACTCGATTGCAGAGTCATTATAGACTCATCAGAAACCGTGAATGTAGAGTGATCAGGTTTAACTAACCAAATAACAAGAACATACTTCATCAAAGTTTATTTACTCTCTTAATATGGAATCGTTCACATTACATTTTAAACTGAGTAGTAAAATTCACTTTTCAGCCTCGTAAATAGTGTTGGATCACGTTAATCATTTCGTAGAAATCACTGGCAGTTTCAGATCTATGAAATATTAACTTTTTGAGAAATGATGATTTTCCATGCTTCACATACCAATTGACTACATTTGTATCAGCTTACGTTGATCGTTGTGTAACATTGTCCTCACTGTGAATTCTTAATCACAACCAACTCTTTTGGTACTTGTTATTTTATTGATATGTTTTTGAGACGTCTCACGCCGATGTCAGTCGTCTTAGGGGATCTGTCACATTTAGATAACTGCAAGAATGTAGACGATTAGATTCACAGACCACATCAAAGAGGAGAACCTACTGGTCTGACACAATCACCATCGTCTTCCGACTGAATGAATCATATTTCTAAACTCAGATTAAACTATGCTATCAAGTGCGTTGAGTAGATCTACAAGCCTTACTCATGAAAGTGCAGTGTAACTTATGACAGAAACATAGTGGAACCTGAAGTGGTATTTAACGTTTACAGATCATTCGGTCTATTACATAGATTATAATACAATCTGACATATGGTGTTACAATGAATGAACAGTAGAAACCATTTCATATTGACAAACTACTATCATGCGTCATTTGATGGCAGTGTAAATATCTACAAAAACTTTGTTCAACCATGCCCTCATTAAGAAGGCATCAATAATAATGACTTTATCGATTTTGTTTCCGTTTAGCAAAAAATGAAAGGTACAGAAGGATTTCGTTCATCATCACGACTGAAACAACAGATTGAATCACTCAATGCCTATGTTCCGACAAGTGAAATTTTAAAACGATTTCAAAATATCTTGTTGAATGATTTACAAGATCAGGTGAATATACAACAACGTCTTGAAGGCAGTACACAAGAGGCTGTTGGAACAATGCAGTCACGTGATATTGGTAGGTTATAATAGACTGTGAGAATTGACTTGTCAAATATGAAATACTTTTCGAGTTTATCTGTTCAATAAAATAATTCTATGAACTGAGATTATTAAAATTTGAAATTTGGTTACGTCAGCGGATTTAAATTTTGGCGCCACTCCAATCGCGGGTTTTTTAAATAAACTCTATATTCACACTGATTCAAATGTTTGAAAAAAGAGAAAAGTGGGCTAATTTACAAAGAAGATTCAATTGTACTCTGTAAAACAAAAGCCATAATACTAGCTGTTTATGTAGACAGAGATAGGAGGTATTCACACTGTAAGTGAAGTGCGAAAATAAATTCAAACATTTTCGTCATGGTGACTCTACAACACTAATTTCTTTTCCTGGGTTCTTTGAAACAAATTTAGTACATAGGCCAACCAATAATCAATTAGTTCTTTCCATGAAAATAGCAGGTTATTAAATTTTCTTGTATATTACAACAAAAATATACCAGTGGAGTTCAACCCTGTTAGGTGTAGGCAGTAACTGACAAAGACAAAATGGATGAGGTCGCACAAAATCTCTAAATCAATCAGAGTTAGGCATTAACATCGTTGGGTCTCGGCCCAGTGGTTAGGTGTTCGCGCACAGTACTGAAGGTCCAGGGTTCGAATTTTCCGAGGTACGGGAGTCGTGGATGCGCACTGCTACTGATGAGTCTCATACCAGGACAAAATGGCCGTCTAGTGATTCCAGGTTTCTAATGGTGATCTAACAATGATTGATTAATGATTTAAAATGTGTAAAATCACTAGTCTCTATAACTTTGATTGAGAAATAACATAATAATTGCTTTGTTATTTATTTCGGTAGTTTTAATATTCTGACTCTTTTCTTTATCTGATACTGTATATGCAATGTACTTCAGTAAAGCTAACACCCTGGAATACGTAGACAAGATTTATTTCATAATTTGTGTTAGTTTCAGGATGATGAGGGTAGGATTCTGAGTAACCTGTGATCTAGTCCCAGTGAGTTCCATGACATAGATGATCTAGCTTTCTTGAGGGCGTCAACAAGCGTAGCTTCAATCATGTGTTAGGATGAAGTCAGTCAGTTGCAACGTAGACGTTCGTACGTATGTTATCATTTCATGTTGCCATACCACAAAAACAGCACAGAGATTCAAATGTCTATTCAAATCCACTAGTAGTAAATGTAATAGAAGTATTAGCAATAATCGGAAAGATGAGGGTTCAATGAAATTATTCAAGATCTAGAATCCAGTGAAAGAAACTTATAAAGAGAAGGATAAGGATGATGACACATACGGAGGATTAGGATTTGAGAGAACACACAGAATAAATGCATCTACGCCATTGCAAACGGTTATGAACTATGTCATACAACGTCTCTAACCATTGATTACTGTCATCTCTTGGATATCATTCAGGTAGTCTATACTTACCAAGTGCAGTTGTCATTGACTTCATGGATTTGTGCCATGTTTTGGTCTGACCACAACTAGCTTTCTTACAACCTACTCCTACACTACAAAACAAAGCTCGACGAAGCAGTCGGTGGCTAGGCATATGCAGCACATGTCCCAACCACCTCAACTGTTGCGATCTCAGCACTTCATCTATTGATCTGCCATTCTTACCTAACACCCGTTTCCTAACAACAGCATTGCTTACTCGGTTGTCCCATGATACACGAGCAATGCTTCGGAGACACCTTTGATCGAAAACCAGCAACCTACGAATATCCGCTACTATGACAGGCCATGTTTCACAGCCATAGAGTAGAATGGAGTAAACTGCTGCACAGTACACTCGTCCTTTAGTCAGTAAACGGATATCTCTCCTACGCGATAAGTGATGCAGGTTGTCAAAAGCCAATTGAGCTTTCTGTTCACGTGCTGAGATTTTATCAGTCTAGAGGCCGTCAGCACCGATGAGACTCCCGAGGTAAGTGAATCCATCGACACGTCCAACTGCTTCACTCCCTATCACTAGTTTAGGTCCCGGCGCAAGCCAATCTTGAAGCAACATTTTGCATTTCGAGGGGGAAAACCGTGTCTCGAACATGTTTGTATTGTTGCATAAGATGCTCAGAAGACTTTGTATTAAAATGAGCATCCTCACCAATTAGAACTATGTCATCGGCACATTCTAAGTCAACAAGCGAGTCTTCAGGAAGAAGATCCACACCTGAAAAGTACGACGAAGATAATGTTATCTCTAACAGAATGTCAGTGACAATATCACACAAGAACGGAGAGAGTGGACAGCCCTGACTGACACAACTTGAAGTAACTGGCCTGGGTTTATCTAGTTTGCTCTTCACGAGCCCTAGTTAGGCGTCTTAGTATTGGGGTTAACATTTCAGACGCTATGTTAATCAAAATTATTCTTCTGTGATTACCACTGTAGGATTTTCCTCCTTTCCTCCTTTTATATTTTCTACTTGATGTAACGCCAAACCACTGTACTAATGACACACCGAACGTTAGACCCATCCGTTTGAAAATAAGAAGACGGAAGACGTTGGAGAACGCTTATTATCAGAATCAAAAATGTACAATCAAACATGCGTGTTTATACAATGATATAAATGTCGTTTAATATTTTGAACATGAATCAAATAGTTTATCATGAACATTAATCAAATAGTTCATCAATCCATAATGTGCGTGGCTTTCTTCTCGACTGGCAATCCCAACACATTTAGACTGGAATATTCAGTGCTTGAGACCAGTCAGATGGCAGTAAGTCCGGTTACCAGATATTAGCTATGACCTCAGTCAATCTAACTGCTAAAACTGTACCACAATGCTCAAATATCGTTTCAGGGCTTGCAGCTCTCTCTTGCCTTAAATTTCTTCAGCCTTTCACTTTCAGTCAGAGTTGTGAGACTTCCACCAACTTGTCATTTAGGTCAACCGGAGATCGTGGGGAAAGAAAGTGTGGCGGAAGGCCAGTTGAAGTGATTCCTGAAGTGTTGTGCCCATCGATCCAGTTCCCGGATTAAAAATGAATAACAATCCCATATTTACCGGTTTCTTTGCGTGTCTGATTCCGATGGCATTGTAGTGAATGAGAACACAGGTGGAGGCAACCGAATTGTATTTAGCGAAAATTACAGAGTTACTCAGTAAAATCGGAAAACCATATCGTAAATCGTTCATTTGCAAAAGATCAGTTCATCCTATGGAACTGGACTGTTCCTGTTGCCAAACATCAATCCATTGTCACTATTCATGCGTTTGATACAAATTCCATTGTTTTCTAACTCTTCCATTCTTGATCGTCCCCCCATATTATGCTACCAGACTTTACGTTGACACTCACGTCATATACTACTTATAAGTAGTTCGCACCACAGCACCACACTCGTCCCCCCTTTTAATCAGCTGTCGTCGTAGTCCTTCAAAACAGAGCCCCTGGTCAGTTAATATCACCTTCCGTATTCCTTGACACGCTACAATATGCCAGATTACCACTTCGGTCATCGTTCTTGATCACTGGTCTGGAATGGATACGGCATCTATCCGACGTGTAGCGTTTACAAGTTCCCGATGCTGGAACACGGCGGCAGGCACACACTCGATAAACTGCGACGCCAAAGACTGTGCCCCGCCCACTCCTCACAGCGCATTCCGGTGAGCTCCACAGCAAGCACCAACAGGTCACCATCGGCCGACAGCCGCGCCAACCGGAACCTCTTCGGCGCCTCCTCCCTGTCCGCTGGGCTGTCGAACTTCATTATCAGCCGCCCGGTGACCGTCTCCCACGCCGTCTCCTCGGTGGCACCGTCCAGGCTGTCGTGTACCGCCTTCGCCTCACCTCCCTGCAGCGTCCCCAGCACCGTCAACTCCGCCCCAGGCCCCCACCAGCTCCACCGTGGCCCCAAACTCCTCCAGGAAGCTCCGCCAATCTTCGTCCTGCAACTCCTTCGGCCACGGGAGCCCCTTCCTTCGAGCAGGCAGCGACACCAAATGTAGTGAATGAGAACACAGGTGGAGGCAACCGAATTGTATTTAGCGAAAATTACAGAGTTACTCAGTAAAATCGGAAAACCATATCGTAAATCGTTCATTTGCAAAAGATCAGTTCATCCTATGGAACTGGACTGTTCCTGTTGTAAAACATCACTCCATTGTCACTATTCATGCGTTTGATACAAATTCCATTGTTTTCTAACTCTTCCTTTCTTGATCTTCCCCCATATTATGCTTCCAGACTTTACGTTGACACTCACGTCATATACTACTTATAAGTAGTTCGCACCACAGCACCACAGCATGACCATCTGTCGCCTACTACCTCTACTTTGCACATGACACGCCTAACACTTCTGACCACTCTCAGTCTTCTTTCCATCAGGATTATTTCTGGGGACTTTTGCTCCGGTACACTCACAGTTGTTGTTGTTCGATAAACGTACGAGAAATTTTATAACGCATCCAGCGGTTTTCCCTCACATGTTGACTTAACCAATGCTATTTCATGGAATGTGTCAGCAAACCTTTCCGGTTGCCCATTCGACTGCGGGTGGTATGATTGCGACCGAAAGTGCTTGATGGCTAGCCGTTGACAGAAAAATTGGAATTCGTTGGAGGTGAATTGCGATCTGTTGTCGGATACAATCACATCTGGTATGCCATTTCGAAAGAAAATTTCAGTAATGAGCTGTATTGTTTTAGTTATCGTGGGCGGCATAACAGGCTATTTTGAAAGAGCGTCGAATACAACTAAATACATCGTTCCATTAATTGGGCCTTCGAAGTCGATGTGTATCCTGGACCAAGGGTTAGCTTGGGGCCATGAAACTGTCTGAACTTTGGGGCAAGTATGCATAACTCCTGTCTACGTGTTTCATTAATTTAACGCCTGGATGACCAAGGTGGAACCATTTCAGTACGTTTGCCTGACGGGATTCTGACACACCCACTCTTTCTCCAAACACCAAGCAGTCGTTTACGATGCATATTGAATCCTGCCGCTGATACAGCTGTTTCATGTCACCATCAAATTTCTTCGGCCGCCAACCGTTAGTGGCATATTCCATTGTCATCTTGGTGATGGAGCCATTCTTAGAAGCGTTTTGTATGTCTATTGTAGACGCCGGTAGTGCATGTATGGCGGTTTTCAGATAAAATATTGCCAGATTTTGACCCAAATTTGCGAGCAGAGGCTTGTGATCAGTCGGAAGCGTCGGAACCGAACAAAAGCCTTTGGAAGTGGTGAACAGCAAGCACAAGGGCAAGAGCCTCTTTCTCTATCTGGCTGTACTTTTTTCTGCGGGTATTAGTGTACGGGATGCATACATGACGGCTTTTTCTGACGCGTCTGGAAACTGATGTGTAATAACAGCACCTAGGCCATACACTGAAGCATCTGCAGCTACGATGATTAGCATGGCTGGATCGAAGTGCATTAACAACAACTCCGAGCTAATTGTGGACTGGAGTTTACAAAACTCCGCGTCATACTTTAGTCCAATTCCAAGTGCTGTTCTTCTGCAGTAGACAACTGAGCGCAAATATCATGCATCGGAGGAATGAACTCTGAATAATAACTTGCAATTCCCATGAAGGAACTTAGTGCCAAGTTATTAGTGGAAGTGCGCATCAGTTTGATGGCTCGAATGTCCTCAGGATCCTGTCTGCAGTCATGGGCATCAAAAATGAACCCCAAATACTTAACCGACTGCAATAAAGACTGGCATTTCTCTGGGCGTGACCGGAACCCGCTGTCACTGATGAGTTATAGTACCATTTTTGTGCGTTCCCATAGCTGTTCTGATGTCGTTGCAACAATCAAAATGTCATCCAGATAAGCCATGACGTCTGAGGTATCTGAGAGCGTGGTATCCATTAGTGGCCGCAAGATAGATGGGGCGGTTTGACTCCAAAAGATAGAAGGTTATACTGAATCAAAACATGACGAGCATTTATCTTAAGCAGCTCTCTTGATACTTCACCTATTTCCACCAGCTAGATCCAGTTTTGTGAATAACTTTCCCCCATTCAGCATAGCAAACGGATCTGCGGGAGCCGCAAAGGATAATGATGCTGTTCAAGCGCTGCATTTAGACAAGTAGAAAAGTCAACACTTATACGTATCATGCCGTTGGCCTTCGTGATAACGTCAGGTGCTGTCCAAGCGCAGAAAGAAATGGGAGTAATAACTCCTTGTTGTTAAAGGCGATTTAATTCTTCATCAACGGTTGGTAATGCTGCTTAAGGCATGGGTCTCTTTGGACAAAAACAGGCTTAGCCTCAGGTTTCAACCGAAGCGTTGCTTTCATGGCAGGACACCGACCCAATCTAAAACAAGTAAATTTAGACCAGTTGGCGTTTTATAACATACGCCAGTAAATGACGAGTCTCAGAAATTAAACTTACCTTCCAATTGTCCTAACAAGCGGAGGTAACTACCACACTCATTACCACGCATTTTTGTTGCCTGCAGCAGGCTTGGGCTACCCATTTTGGGTCAAGTTCTACGTGAGAGAATGATGACGTCTGATGCCGTATCTACTTGCAATCTAAGTGAATGCTCACCTGGTGATGAGCCTGAACATGAAGATATTTGGCTCAATGAATTGGTACAGCATCTGGAAACAGTCTTTTTGGTACATCAGGAGCGGTTTAGCTCTCCTTTTTGTTCAAAAACCATATTTATGACCGACGACCTTACACTTTTTGCATCGATGTTTCCTAAATGAATCACAGTGTCAGCAAGTAGCAGGGGGATTGATTTTCATCTGTCGGGCTGAGCTGGAGCGGGATGGACTGCATGTAGCAGGGACACATTTATTCTGGTAACCTGTTTGTTGCAGGACATGTACTTCAGATTGACTAGACCCATCAGTCTGCACCAGAGTCGTGTCTCGTTGCAGATTGATGAGGCGTTGATATTCATTGGCCATGTCAGTGATCCAAGCCCGATGCCCCATTTTACAAAAAATTCGAACATTAAAAGCTGCATCATGTAGTCTAGAACGAGGTTTCAGGTGACCAGGAATAACGTTTCGGAAACTCGAATTGTTTGTATTAGCAGTGCAGGGTGATAAGGGGATGTAAGAAGAGTGAGTCATGCAGATAAGAGAGACGTTAGGGGGTCTAGGAAGGATTTGATTGTGACCGATTCGCTCACGTGTGCTGCTATGCGAATAAGAGCAGATGTCTTTTTCCGGCTGCCCACACAGTGGAAGGGTGTTTCTTGCGTAACTCGAATATGAAGGTAGATTAGCGTCGGTCTTAGAATCCTAGGAGCGTGAACGCAGAGCCCGAGGGACAAGTGCTTGAGGCCGGTTTCGCGCAGCCTTTTTATGAGAAGCTCTTAATATGTTTGCTGTGCTCTCCAGAAGGCTTTATCGCTTCTGACGGAAACCCGTGAGGTAAGGTGAAGTGTGACATTTTCAAGGTCGACCTTTTCTAACACCTTCTTTCCTTATGAGAAGGCAGCATCGCTGCAGATGCTTGTTTTCCTAGGCAAGAGCCTTACTACTATCACACCCTTCTACAGTTAGCAGTACGACTTCGCCTTCAGACCTTGAGCTGTTGCTTTTAGTTTCATCGTTCTCCAGTCGACCTGCCTGGGATGTTAGGACCTACTTGAACATCTGTCCCAGCTAAAATAGCTCGGCTGGGTCATCACGATAGGCAAGCTCGACCATCATGTCATGGTAGCGGCTAAGATCGGGCTGGTGATGAGTTCTTTTAGTCGTTCATCAGATGAGAAAGTCGGTATTCAGCTTTTGGCAAATAAAAGTTTAAACAATCTCCTCAGTGGCCTCGCTGCACGTCAGATGCAAATTTATCATTAGGTAATCTAAGGGCTTTGATCAAGTCACCTCTGGTCTTTCTATATGATAAATAAATAGGTATGTTTTAAACAGTCTGTCTATACGACAGCTTTGAGCTTCCGGCAGCGGTTTGAACCTTTCCTGGACGGTTTGCTCTTTTTTTAAGCAGTACTGGCCACTTGCATGCAATACTCAAGTTGAGAAAGGATATTTGGCTACTCCTTTAAGTACAATTACTACACTGACACATTTCTCACTGTCACCATTGCAACTACTGTCACATTTACCTAATCAATAATGTCTTACTCGAACAAGAAAACACAAAGCCAGAAGGAGTTCATCCTCGAAAACCTTTTGTAACCGGTAAGATTATCGAGGTAAAACGTTGGCTAATTGGACAATACTTATCCAAGGTGTTTGCACCAATTCATCTCAAAACAACATTTCCCTACGTAGCGTGAAAGAAACACAGCGTTTCCAACGTATCGATCGAAACAGTTGAAGAAAAGCGTATTCTATCAAATCGACCATCATCTCAGTTTGATCAATGTTTGTGTTATTTGTTTTTCCAGATGCAGATAAAATACAAAGAGCTGTTGAAGAAGTTACACGTGAGGAACGAATAAGACAAGAACAATTGCTATCCGATAAAGAAGCAATTATTGAACAACTTGAAAACCAACTGCGTGAAACTCGTCAAGTGAGTTGTTAATTTTGTATGAAGACATTTTCATCTCAAAGTCTATATATAGTTCATTAGAAAATCTACACATATTAACATTGAAATTTGTATTGTGTAGTAGTCTAGGCGACAGCTGACTATCATGAATGCGATTCTCGAATAAGGTAACTAAACATCTGTTAGTCAGTGTTGATTACAACATATTTCTGTCTTCAAGAATCCGATTATTCAGGAGACTACTGGTACAATACATTCAATAGTTATGAAAGGCATTTTGGAGTATTGTATACCGGAAATCAGTGCAGTGTACATACACAAACCAATGTCACCGTAAACATACATTCACGTTCAATTGTGTGGCGATTTGAAACCAAGAACGCCTTGTAATATGTAGAAATAGAGTCGTTTCACCTGTTCATTTCTAAGATTATATCTCAGTCAATTTTTCGACGCTAACTTTAACACGTATTTCTTTTGTGAAATATCAAAACCATTCTATGTGTGCATACTCTGGTTCTGACATTTGGCATCCTATTCGCAAATTTTTGCGTCACATAAATCGTTCGACCTCACACTTGACTTAACTGATACAATGAATAGGTGAGTTTTTAAATCAACCATTGAATGTCTAGTGAGATTTTCCATTCTGTCAACGCGTTCGACCCACTACATTGAACATAGTTGCGTAGTGAGACAGTTGCAGAGATGCTTGCTCAATGAACCAGCGGAAGTATGAGATTGTTTTAATAAAACATGGCACTTATTTATTGACAGGTACATAATAAAACTTACAATTATTGACTAAGTAACGTTGTTCGATAACCTCTCCTCCGTCTATGAGCAATAAAGCACCTTAGAATATTACATTTTAAATGTAAAACCATTTATTATTTGAACAGTGAAATTTCAGGCTTATTAGTGTCAGGTACATGTTGATTCAATCGAGAAAAATATATCAACATCTAGAAATAGTTTTACTTTATAAAATCAAGTGAAGAAATTATCGAATTTCGATACTGAAATTCAAGAAGCTAATCATAGTCAGTGTGAAATCTCCAACATAAACGTTCATAAATACATTTGATGCTTAGACTGTGAAAAACACTACATAGGACAAAGTGGACGACCTCTTCAGCTTCGTTTACGTGAACACCAATCAGCAGTCAAACGCCACGACAACGCTTCGCTTATATCAATAAACACCGACAATTATGGACACACATTCGATTGGAACAATGTGGAAATACTGGGTAGGGGGAGAATAAAGAACACTAGGGAATTTTTAGAAGCTTGGCTGGCACTCAGGTCAATCAGCAATCAATAAACACATCGACATTGACCAAAATTTATCAACCAATCAAAAAAATCATAGGTGACATAGGATCAAGAAACTGATCAAAAGGGGGATGCAATCAAAACAAACCAATCAAGATCGAGGTTAGCAGAACAAGCTACAGGTCAAACGTGTGGAGAAATTCGAATGCTTCACTTCTTCTATCTGAAGTTTGTGCTGATGATGATGTTGTTCTTTGGAAGAACAATGAAAGCTCCACAACCAAAACACTCAGCTCAGAGAACCAAACACCACCACCACCACAATCATCCACCTGAGCTACAAGTTTTCTCCACCATGAAAAAGAACATCGTCAACTGTAGAATAGTGAATGGGATTATTTAGACAAAGTGATGAGTATAAGCGAGCGATGAATTTTCACCTGAAATGATTCATTTTTAATATCACTTGATGTTACTTGACTTTTACACTAATCTAGCTTGAATTGACAGCTACTCAATTCGTGTATTCATAGCTAGCTGATTACTGATTTGGCCTTTCTTAGTAGCCTTCCTAATAATAAAACCTACTCTTGCCTTTAACAGTATAACAACAAACCACATGAGCTTAATTGATGATGATGATGATGACTGTGTACAATTAAGGGGAAGTATTTTTTTCATCATCATGGTATAATTATCTATTGTTTGTTTGCTAAAAATAAGATTTCAGTTGAAAAACAACCTGGTCAATACAATGAATTTGATGATATGGAAGAAGCACATCAACTTCTATCAAGGCTACAACATGAAATTGAATTCAAAGAAACTCAAATTGAAAAATTAAAAACACAATTAGATCAACAAACTTTAGCAAATATAACATTACGTGAAGAAACTGAAAAACAATGTGAATCCCGTTGGAAATCCAATGTGAACAGTAATAGAGAACAAATTCAACAACAGGCTAGAACAATTTGTATTATACAACAACGTTTAATTCGTATGAAAAAACAATTATATGATACTAGAAATGAAGTGTTAACATTAAGATATACAAATCCAAGTAATTATATTGTTTTGCAGTTATTGATTTATCTGAAAAAAATCAATATTTTTAGGGGGAAAAATACGAAACCGAGAATTTTTGTAAGTAGGCTTTTGTAGGAGGGAGTCATTCATCCTATAAACTTCGTAAAATTGCTCGTGTCCAGACAATCGTTGCTTACTAAGGAACGCCTGATGGTGGTTTTAAATCAGAAGCTGAACGAGAAGTGTTGAATACGTTAATTTTTGGCATACCACAAATGGACCAGCGGACGAAAAGCACACGCAGAGCGGGGTAAGCACACTAACGAGCGAATTAGCGAATGATGTGTGAAGTGGAGAAGGCTAATTTGACAACACTTTGGATGCTGACCGTCATGAAAGTGGTGACAGCTTGCTCACCACAGACTCCGAATTGAAAAAATGGAAAACACGAATGTCCGGTGCTCTAATCGAATTGTTATGCACGATGCACCTATCTAAGTAAGTAGGAAAACCTTCATTTCTAGCCCACAGTGGACATCGGCTTAAGGACCCTGATGAAACAAATAAGGCGTAAATCTGTTATTGGTCGTCGACTATGATGACATCGCAAATCTTGACGTTGATAATGAGCCAACTCCTCTTCGCTCGTTAGTGTGCTTACCCCGCTCTGCGTGCTTGTCGTCCGCTGGTCCACTTGTGGTGTGCCAAAAAACAGACGTATTCAACACTTCCTGTTCACCTTCCGATTTAAAACCATCAGGCGCTCCTGAGTAAAGATTTTATAGACGAGTAAATTACGAAGTCTAGGAACACTTTGGATACTGACCGTCATGCAACTAGTGACACGTTGCTCACCCCAGACTGCAAATTAAAAAAAATGGAAGATGAATGTCCGGCGCTTCGAACCGCATTGTTAGACACGATACACCCATCTAAGCAATCAGGAAAAGCTTCATTCCTCCTAACCATCAATGTTCATCGGATTAAGAATCCTGATGAAACAAATAAGTCGTGAACTTGTTGTTGTTGTTCGTCGTCAACTGTCATGACATCGCAGCACTTGACGTTGCTCAATTGAATTGAAAATATAACCAACGATATTTCATATAGATAAATCTTGGTGCATGAGTTCATAATAGAGCTAATTAATTGTAGACAGCTTTGATAATTGATAAAAAAAAAACAGGCTACTTTAAATTACGTACATCATTTTTTTCACATTGAATACATTTCTTATATATAAGTTTACATATTTTAAAATCTCAATCATTGATTAGCTGCTTCTGAATCACGAACTCATTTAACACAAGCACATAATCATCCTCCAACTACACGAACTAAAATACCAGCACATGTGAATGGTGATGGAACTAAACAGCCTTCTGCACCTTCATCGAATGATGGTGTTACAAGTCCAAAGTTGGGTGATCAATTGAAGTAAGTTAATCAAATAATAATTAATAATAATAATAATAATAATAATAATAATAATAATAATAGTAATTATAATGTAATGTGTTCGTCAATTGAATATCCTTGAATGCTATTACAAGTTCATCTTACTCGGTAAATGAGAGACAGTCAGTCAGTCAGACGCAACGTAGAACTTCCGTACGTAAGTACATCAGTTCATGTTGCCATACCACATCAGCACACACAGATGTAATTGTCAATTCAAATCCAATAGTAGAAGAGGTAGTAAAGGTATTAGAAGCAATCGGAGAGGTTAGGATTAGATATTATTCAACAAGTATGATTCAATCAGAAAAGTTTAGAAAGTCAAAACTAGAGGTGTTGAAGAATCCAGAAGATTAGGATTTGAGAGAACACAAAGAATAAATGCACCGGCGCCATTGCGAACGATTTTCAGCCACGTCATTCAAGGTCTCTAACCATCGATTATTATGATCTCGCGGACCCCAACCAGGTATTCGACAATTACCAACATGGCTCAATCCACTCGTCAATGACTTCATGGATTTCTGCCATGTTTTGGTTTGGCCGCCCCTAACTTTCTTCCGACCTATTCCTACACTACAAAACAAAGTTCGTCGAGGCAGTCGGTGGTTCGGCATACGTAACACATGTCCTAACCACCTCAACTGATGAAGTTTCACCACTTCATCTATTGATCTGCCATCCTTACCTAGTACTCGTTTCCTAACGACAGCATTGCTTACTCGGTTGTCCCCTGGTATATGAGCAATGCTTCGAAGACACCTATGATCGAATACCAGTAACCTACGAATATCTTCTACTCTCACTGGCCATGTTTCACAGCCATATAGGAGAACGGAGCGAACTGCTGCACAGTACACCCGGTAAATGAGAGTAAAGACAAATGATTCAGTGACACGATAGGCTCTCCAAATTCGATTGTCCCCGACCCTGCTAACTATAGCAAGAAGTTTTGAATTAAGGCGTAGAAAGTGAATTCTACAAGTAACCAGAAAATATGAGGTTGACAAGGACACAAATCGAGTTTATTTATACAATGATAGCAATGTCCTTGGGAGAGTCACAAAAATAGCGTACTAAAATAACACATCAGCCAATTACAGTCAAGGGTTTTCCGAGTAGGAAATGTAATCTCAAGGTGGTCAACTGAAGCAGCTCACGCGTGAAAACACAAAATCCAAAATTATAACCTTCATCAAGTGTGCTCTGGGGATCTAACGTCCCCAACATAATAATAATGATATTATTGATAAACTTAAGAATAACAATATTGATGAAGCCACTGATATTCGATACCCCTTACAACAAGTCTTAATTTCTGAATGACTAAATTATTCACCATCTTCATAGTTATGCTGTCATCATCAGCTGACATGATGTGAAATGTCGACCCACACACACACACACACACACATGAGAGAGAGAGAGTGGCGTAGATCAATAATACTCATGAATAGATTTAAGAACACAACTGAATACGATCAAAATACATGAACGTCCGGTTTCTTTCTAGGCCAAGTTTGCGCACCTAAAGTATTGGTGATCAAGGTCAAGCTGTGTTTTTGGTGGAAGGTTGAAAATGAGCTTCCATGGAGATTCCATCTTCAACCCTATTTATTATTCTATTTGAGTAGTATTTAGATAACCAGTGGATAGCTGATAATGAAAATACATTGAACCTCTGGTTTTATTTATAAGTCAAGAGTTCTTCCAGTAATCAAGATGAAAAATCTGTTGTGTGATAGGATTGAAAGTTACGTTCTATTTCTATTGATCATTGTCAGATATACATTTTCTTGGCTAAAAATGTCCATCACTAACTTGTTGTTCTTCGAAACCCGTTTATTATTCTATTTGAGTAGTATTTAGATGAGCATTGTAATAAATGATTGTGATTTCGCCTTTTATTTTATTTTATATAAAACGGTTAATTTCTTCGCTTGGGAAGGTTATGTGACCTAACGCTACCTCGTCTGGTTTTGATTGATAACCGAAGGATATTACACATCGTTTCACAGAACTTTCACATTACATATAATGTGATCCGAAAACGATAACACATAACCGTACTTCGGAAAATGTCACTAAATTCAACGGACAATATAAGCATACTTGCTACTCACACATTTACAATGTAACATTCGAATCATCGTGTTGTATTATGCTTGAGATATAGTTTTCATAGTTGTTGGTGCTAGACAGAAAGTTAAGTGAACTTACAATTCCCACTAGTTGACAACCATATAGACAGACTTAAACCAATTCTGTACACAGTGATAAATCACTTAGTTTAAAGGGTAAACTACAAAATCAATGGACAGAATCTAATCAGTATTAAGTTCTAAATGGCTTGACACTTGCTACTACTACTACTACTGTCACTAATCAATAATTAGTCAATGAATTTAAGATTGATCTCTGGCGAGTGGAATTATATTCAGTGTGAAACTCTGTAATCTACTTCGTTCACTGTATAAAAACGTATGGTTAAAGAAATCCCTTGAAATAAAAACAAGGCTGTGGTATACAACTAAAAATATCCAGCAGTATTGTATTTGGTACAAATGAAATACACTGATTGTATTGTGAGCGGAAATATTTAGTTAGGCTGATGATGATGAATTTCTCATACGTTGTATAAAACCATTCGTCAAGCCTGTATAATGTCATCCTATTCATACTGTCGAATGTTTTCTCATAGTCAATGGAGATGATTTACAGTGGGGAATTCCATTCAACCGGCTGTTCCACAATGATTCGTAATGTTGCAATTTGGTAGATTCATGATCGATCCTTACGGAATCCAGCCTGCTGATTTTGAAGTTGTGAGTCTATTGAATCTTTCGTTCGGTTCACCTACACACTCTTTTGAAGACTTTTCTCGGTACTCAAAAAGAAGATTGATGCTTGCTGAGATCTTTCTTTTGTATCTCCAAGAGGTGTCCTCTTTTTCAGTGTGTTGGTTGGTAATTTTTCTTCCCAAATCTTGCTGAACAGAGAGTGCAACATGTTTGCAGTTACCGTTATGTCTGGCTTCAGTGCCTCCACTGGAATGTTATCTGGTCCTGCTGCTTTGTCGCTCTTGATTTGTCTGATGACCATGTGTTGGGGATGTTAGATCTCCAAAATTCGTTCGATAAATGCCTTATTTTGGTTTTCACGTGTGCCAGCATGGGCGGATCAGTTGACCTTGCGATTTCATTTCCCAACAGGAAAATCCATGACTGTGATTGGCTGCTTTGTATTTTAGTGTGCTATTTTCTTAACTGTCTCAAGGACGTTTCTATGTTGTATAAATAAACGAGAGTTGTATGCTTGATTGTACTGTGATTGCTGGGTGTTCGTAGAATATACTTTCTACGCTTACAAAGCCTTTTTACTTCAGCCTCGGATTCAAGGTAGCCTATCTGGACGCTGGTTTATTGTCTCATTCGCGTTTATCGACTAAGGTAAACTCGTAATAGCCTCAAGCATACTAAGTGACAAACTTATCACCATGCTGATTTGTTCAATTGTTGGTGGTGGGTAGAGACATTAGGATGTCCCGTTGGTGCAGGTTTGGTATTGTTGGGTTGGTCCGGTAGACACCATGACGGTTATTATTATTTGATTCTTCTTTCCATATTAAACAAACAACAACTGATCATTGCATGATATTTTCTCTCTCTCTTCTCCTTTAATAAAGATCAAAAATAGGTCAATTAAAAAATATTATCAAAAGTCAAATATCCACTATTGGTGTATTACGTTCCGGTTTAGAAGATAAACTAGTTCAATTGAATGATTCAACAAAAAATGATTTCACTCGATTTTTACATAGAAAAGATGAATTTGATATTGGATCCAACAATTATGACAAAAGAATTAATTTGGAATTATTCAATACAAAAACACAATTGGCTAATTTAAAAACTGCTTATAAACGTTTATATAAACGGTTAAATTTAAAAGAAGATGAAGTTAAGTAAGTTTTGAAGCGAATATTATATTTTCTATTTGAAAATGTAATCACTGATAGGGTAGTAAACACAGATGACAGTTGTTTTGCTATTCTCTACAATTGTTTGTGAAAGTGCACTGGTTCGTCGTTTATGATACTGAGATTGTTTTTCAGTTAGAGCTTTGGAGATTTGTGTTTTTTTACACATTTGAAATCATCAATCAATCAGTGATTGTTAGACCACCACCATTAGAAACCTGGAAGCACTGAAAGACGGCCGTTTCGTCCTTGTATGGAACTCATCAGTAGTGCGCATACAGGACTCCTGCACCTCGCAGGATTCGAACCCGGGACCTTCGGTCTTGTACGCGAACGCCTAACTTCTGAACCACTGGGCCGGCAACCCACGGTGTTAATGTCTAACTCTGATTGATCTACGGATTTTGCGTGACCTCATCCTAACAATGATTGATTGATCATTTCAGATACTGAGATTGCTTGAAACATGCTATTTCTTCAAGTTAACACTTAATGTTCATTGAAAAACAAACTATAAACTAGTACAAAAGATGTAAGAAGGATGTTTATCTTTTAGTGGTGACTATGATCACCACTAAATACTTGTATTATTACGGGCCCGTCATAAAGAAGACAAGTAAATCCATATCAAAGAATATATTTGTTGGCGATTTCGTGGACTCGAAAGAATATCGCATTTGTGCCAGAAAAGTTGAGCAAAATCGCAGAGACACGGGAGCCAAAATGCCAGCAACCCAAACAGGAAGTTTCCCTGGACAGAAAGATTGTAATAGACAAAAAGTACAGTTAAACCAATCAACGCTACAATTTGTTATAATAATGAATATTTCTATTAAACCAATGGCGTTTTCTTCATAGAGTCACAAAAAATAGCACACTAAAATGACACAGTAACCAATCACGGCTGAGGATTTTCGTGGTGGGAAATGTGATCTCAAGGTCAACTGATCGGTCCATGAAATAAATCCAAAATAAAGTTATTTATCAAGCGAGTTCTGGGGATCTTACATCCTCAACACTTATGTACTACAGAAATTGCATTCGAAAAAGCAGAGTCACTAGTTTTGACTGGTATTAGGCAGGCGATACAGTCATCCTTCGGCGGTTTCTGCACGACTGACTGGATCGACTGGACCTTAGGACGTCTTTTTCTACCATTCTTATTTTATATACAGTTCTTTTTAAAAGTAGGAATCTTGGTTTTTTTGTTGAAGACCCAGTGTTTGGGTCGAGTGATCCGAATTATCATTACTACTCTGAGGAATGTTGTCGAGTGACGGTTTGAGTCTTTTCACAACTCCCTAATGACCCCCGAAATTCTTACCTCCACAGGTTTTCCTAGTTGTTAGAAGTGGTAGCAACCGTATTATCTAAGATGATACTTGAGAGATTTAGAGATAAAAAGCGAGATGATCACAGGAGGAAAATACGCTAATCAAACCTGAAAGTATTCCTGAATTGCAACTTTACCTTTGACTGTCCTAGTAAGCAACTTCGCGTCGATCCAGTAACTTGTCCACAAGTCCTGTGTTTGCGAGTGAAAGGATATATGTGTATGCTGCCGAAGCAATTAGGAAGATAGCAGTTTGTCGTGGCAGCTACACATATCGCACAGTGGTTCTGACTTGGAATGAATCCATTTGTCCAAATTTGTACTCAAAAATTATCAACCAGTGAATGGAGACAACATTTAAAATCTTCGAAAGTGATAGAATACCCTAATCTGGTGTCCATAACTGAATCGTTTCCTGTAAATGGAGGGAAGTCGACGAGACCAGGTCGATTTCGAAATGCGCTGTATTAATAGTATAACTTGAAATCAGTCCATTAAAATCCACACATTCTGAATGCCGCAGAATGAGAATAAAGCGTGAGAAAGAGTTGAAATACACGATCACGCAACACAATGGATGTAATGTTACCATGGAAATAAAGCTTTGCTACTGCTTATGTTTGAACACATAAATTTGTTTTCAGAAGTTTGATAGCTACAACTAGAACAAATTTCAGAATATGAAGATACTCGATTGTTTACAGTCACCTTCAAGGACTTCAATGTATCCAACTGAGATCCTGTATCACAGAGATATCTCTAGATTGCCCGGCTAAGTGCCTTTAGTCCACTTCACATCAGAGGTTTCAGAATATGTTTTATTCTTCTTTTGGTAGATACATGTGGATTTGTATGTGCACACTTGGCGATAACATGAGTGAGAGACCTGTCAACCTTTGATTAGGCTAAAGGACCTGTTGTTTCGAACAATCCAATCAATTTAGCTACAGTATATTTTAGTCTGTGTTAACTACCCCCTGTCACATAATCACATTTAAATTTGAGTGAAATAAAAGTGCTCCCAAGGGATCACGTGTATAAACTTCATTCATTCTAAGTTAAAGTCTCGAGTGAATACAAAAATTACACTGACAATAAACACATCTTCTGCATAACTAACTTTAGAATGTGTTACATTGTGATCTTTTCCTGACTCAAATCAAATGTATCGGATCGTTTTCGTTCTTATTTATTTACCTCCTTGACATTTTAAACCAAGTTGGTTTTTTGTTGAAATCATCAACGCCATCATCATCATCGTCCCATTCTCTCCGATTGATAATCTTCTACTTATCAAATCTACCGCGAAAAGAATTTTCTGGTCAATTTACTTACTTACTTACTTACACTAACTATATCAATTCATTTTTGAAACCATGAATCGATCAATGTTAGACCACCGTTGGAAACCTGGAAGCACTGGACGGCCGTTTCGTCCTGGTATGGGACTCCTCAGCAGTGCACATCCACGACTCCTGCACCCCGCAGGATTCGAACCCAGGACCTTCGGTATTGTGCGCGAACGCCCTGGGTTCGAATCCTGCGGGGTGCAGGAGTCGTGGATGCGCACTGCTGAGGAGTCCCATACCAGGACGAAACGGCCGTCCAGTGCTTCCAGGTTTCTAACGGTGGTCTAACATTGATCGATTCATGGTTTCAAAAATATATCAATTCAATCATTCATTCATTCATTGTTCAATGTTTCAAATGAATTTTAACTTTCTTCTTATTTCTCAATTTTTTTCTTATTTAATATTTAGTAAATTAAAAACAGTCATTGATGAAATAACTCATGGTAAATATGAACGTGATTTTAAAGGAGAAACTATCGAAGAAATATCAGGTTTTGGTGATAAAAAAGAATTAGAAAATCCAATGGATGCTTTACGTGTGAGTAATTTTGAATGATTATTTTCTTGTGTGTGTGTGTGTGTGTGTGTGTTACTACAAATGTATATGTTCAGACTAGAATGAGTTTATGTTAATGAAGAGTGTCAAATGTTTAGATGTAGAATTGGGGCAATTAAAATTCATTCTTGATGATGAAGATGCCTTGGAGGACGTTAACTAAAACCTTTACATATCCGGGCAGCATCATCAATGACAATCAAGGTGGATCCGATGCAGATGTGTGAGGGAGCGGATTAGCAAAGCAAGGGCTAGATTTCTACAATTGAAAAAAGTATCTGGAACTCCAACCAACTTTCAATCAACACCGAACTCAGGATATTCAATACAAATGTGAAGACTTGGAGAACTACCAAAGCCATCATCCAGAAGATACAAGTATTTATTAACAGTTGTCTACGCAAGATACTTCGGATTCATTGGCCAGACACTATCAGCAACAACGTACTGTGGAAGAGAACAAACCAGATTCCAGTGGAGGAGGAAATTAAGAAGAAGCGGTGTAAGTGGATAGGACATACACTACGAAAAGCACCTAACTGCGTCACAAGACAAGCCCTCACATGGTGCCCTCCTGGCAGAAGGAAAGGAGGAAGGCCAAGGAACACATTACCCCGAGAAATAGAGAAAGATATGAGAGGAATGAATAAAAACTGGAAAGAACTAGAAAGGGAAGCCCAGGACATAGTAGGTTGGAGGAAAATTGTTGGAGGTAAGAGGCGTAAGTAAGTAAGTAAGTAAGCATTTATAAGAACTAGATAACTTGAGTTTCATTCGTGGATAAGTTGTGGGTATGAAAAAGAATTGCTATCTAGATCTATGCAATGATAATTCAACACTCTAGTACGTGTTCCACATGTCATTGATTGTTCAGATTGGTTGCCTGTTCGGACAGATTTCACTTTTCCCAGGAGAAAATCAACACATCTTACCATTTTTAAATATTAACTGTTAAATCATCTGTATGAATGTTTCAATTAGAGTTATGGAGATTAGTGTTTGTTGAACATTGAAATCATCAATCAATCAATCAATCAGTCAATCATTGTAAGACTACCATTAGAAACCTGGAAGCACTGAAACATGGCCGTTTCATCCTGGTATGGGACTCGTCAGCAGTGCACATCCGCGACTCCTGCAAATCTCCGGATTCGAACCCAGGACCTTCGGTATCGTGCGCGAACGCCTAACCATCGGACCACTGGGCCGGCATCCAAAAGCTCTCCCCAAAATATCGTAACAGTGCTCACTAGTCATCAGCTTCGTGAAGAAATTCTACTAGTTCTAGTTGAGAAGACGTGACCAATGGAGTTTAACCCTGTCGAGTGTAGGCAGTGACTAACAAACACAAATAGGTGAGATCGTGGATGCGCACTGTTGATGAGTCCCATACTAGGACGAAACGGCCGTCCAGTACATTCAGGTTTCTAATGGTGGTCTAAGAATGATTGGTTAATTACTTTCGCCTGTTACCCTCAATGGAGCATAGGCTACTGATCAGCATTTGAATTATTGTTTTCTGGTTAGCGTTTTTTTGGCGAGTTAGTTTTCCGTGCAATAAGTTCATCAACTCTACGCCAAACCCTTCTCCTCTATTCGACCTCGAGACCGACTATATCCTCGGAAGGACTACATGCAGAGTTAGTTGTAACTTTACCAACAGTGTTCACTTATTATTAATTATACCAGAATCGAAAGGAAAATTTTTATTTCATAACAAATATCTGATCGTTCATTAAAACTAAAAGTCAGATTGTTCGCCAGTAAAGTAATAATAATTCCCTACCTCGTTCAAATTTTTCTGTTTCAAAGTGTTGTACACAGACAAGTCGATTGGTTAGCGTTATGTTTTGTGGTGTGGGAGTAGGTTGTAAGAAAGCAAGGGGCTGCCAGACCAAAACATGGCACAAATCTATGAAGTCACTGACAAATGCAGTGAGTCATGTTGGTAGATGTAGGCTACTACCTGGTTGGGGTCAGCGAGACGAAAGTCACCAATGGTTAGAGACCCTAAACGACATGGCTCAAAATCGTTTGCAATGGCACAAATGCATCCATTCGTTATGCTCTCTCAAATCCTAATCTTCAAGATTTGTCAGCACATCCAATTTGAAGTGCAAACACTTAATCTTTCCACCACTCATCCGGCATTCAACGATGTAAGTATGTAACCCCAATCAATCCATTACACCCTGGGTTCCATCCTCGGAAGCTGTGTCGTATATGCGCACGGACACTGAACAGTTCCATCCTATGAACAATCGGCCGTTCACTTCTCTCTCCAATCCGATGGTACATGTGTTACGAATAACTAACCACTGACTGCCTCGACGAGCTATGCCTTGTGACGTAAGAGTAGGTCGGAAGAAAGCTACGGGCGGCCAAACCAAACCATGGCAGAAATCCATGAAGTCACTGACAAGTGCAGTGAGTCATGTTGGTAGATGTAGACTACCTGGTTGGGGTCCGCGAGACGAAAGCCACCAATGGTTAGAGACCTTAAACGAGATGGCTCAAAATCGTTTTTAATGGCACAAGTGCATCCATTCGCTGTGCTCTCTGAAATCCTAATCTTCTGGATTCGTCAGCACCCCTACCTTTGTCTTTCTAACCTTATCTCACTGAATTATACTTCTTGAATAATATATCTTCAAACCTTAGTCTTCTTCATTAATACCATTAATATCCCTACTATCTTTATCAGTATGCGGTTTGATTTGACATTTGCGTCTGTGCTGCTAATGTGGTATGGCAACATGAACTTATGTACATACGTACGAAGTTCTACATTGCAACTGGCTGACTGACTTATATAAATGACACATATTTCAATTTAAAAAATAAAATACATTGTTTTGTTTTTCTCGGTTTTTTTTTCACACAGATTTCCGAAGATTGTTACCTGAATTTAATCATGTCACTGACAAATTGTTTAGATATTGATCAAATTCCAGAACAGCGATCACTTGTTAAAATACCAAAAGTGGAAAAAGAAAAAATTATGAAAGAACGTCAGTATATTATTGATTTATTTTTACAAAAAATTGAAATCTTAAAAGATCAAATTCAAAATAAAGAAAGTTTACTCAATGAATATGAACGTGACTTGGGTTTATTGAAGTAAGTAGAGATTGATTGTCTTATGAATTGAGAGAGAGAGAGACAACCAATCTTTACATTACGGGGTTGTGAAGATTGTTAAGTTACACATTTTTGAAACCATGAATCGATCAATGTTAGACCACCATTAGAAACCTGGAAGCACTGGACGGCCGTTTTGTCCTGGTATGGGACTCATCAGTAGCAGTGCGCATCCACGACTCCTGCACCCCGCAGGATTCGAACCCAGGACCTTCAGTATTGTGCACGAAGGCCCTAACCGTTAGACCACCGAGCCGATACCTAACGGTGTTAATGTCTAGGGGGAAAACGTGACCAGTGAAGTTCAACTTGTTCGGGTGTAGGCAGTGTCTACCGATGACTGTGTATGAGGTTGCGCAACTCCGTGAATTCGGTCAAGTTAGACATTAACACCATTGAATACCAGCTCAGTGGTCTAACGGTTAGGGCGTTAGCGCACGAGACCGAATGTCCTGGGTTCTAATCCTGCGAAGTGGAGGAGTCGTGGATGCGCACTGTTTAGGAGTCCCACACCAGGATGAAACGGTCGTCCAGTGCTTTCAGGTTTCTGCTAATGGTGGTCTAACATTGGTCGATTCATGGTTTCAAAAATATGTAACTAATCTTTACACAGTTACATAATAATAATAATAAGTGCTCGGCGTTTATTTCGACTTCAACAGTGGATATTCATGACATAGACTTGACGGTTCAAACATAGATTTATCAGCTTTTATGGTGAATACTTAACTAAACATTTTAGACTTACTGACTGAGGAGTAGTAGTTAATGTTAGGTTCGTCATTAGGTACGCTTGAAACTAATACCGGTTCACCTTAGTCGATAAATGAGAACAAGACAATGAACCAGCCTACAGGTAGGATACCTTGATCCGATGAATAACCGAAATTCTTGATATAACGTAGAAATTGTATTCTAAAAACAACCAGCAAGCACAATGCATTCAAGCACACAAATCTCGTTTTTATTTATACATCATTGAAACGTCGTTGGAACAGTCACAAAAATAGCACACTACAATACACAGCAGCCAATCACAGCCAAGGATTTCCTTGGTGGGAAATGAAATCTCATGGTCAACTGATCAACTCATGCTCGGAAACATGAAATCCAAAATTAAGCCATTTATCAAGCGAGTTCTGAGGATCTGACGTCCCGAACATAGTACAATAATCACTTCACTTGAATCAGTCAATACTGTTTTATTCATGATCTTGTGGAGGAGTTTTTTAGTTGAGCGAATTCGATGTTTTAACATCATTACTCATTTCCATTGTTATTCAAATTGAGACGGATATTTAACAAATACAATGTAGCACGTGTAATCAGTAGTCACTAAGGGGCGGATAAGATCTAAAATCAAAACACACCAGGTTAGTTGAGCACTTCATATCAAGAGAGAACACGAAGTGGTAGCCACGGCACTCTTTATTTTTAAAATTAAGTTACGTTGTGTTTTTTTGTACAGAAAAGGGATGGCTTGTTTACTAAAGTCTTATTAATCATCTCGTAAGTTTGTAGTGTGTCGATTTACTGCGTGTTCTTAAGCTCCGTAATTAACTCGTTCAGACAATCGTTGCCAAATAGCATCTGACGGTTGATAAATCAGAAGATGAATTCGTACTGATGAATGAATACGTTTATTCGGGACACACCTCAAAGCGAAGCGGAGAAGCAGTGAATAAAACGAATGAAACGACGTGAACTGGAGAAGGCTAATGAGCCAACTCCAAGAGCATAACTAAGAATATATAGTCAGACCAAAAATAAGACAGACGCATGACAAGCGAAATAGGCATGCACAGACATGAATAAAAGCGACGAATGATTGACAATGTCAAATGACAAGTGATACAAATCATATGAGTTCATGGGGATATTAAGAAAGATTAACATTCAAGCGAAAAGGATCAGTAAGCGCGTAGGCGTAAACAATGCTCAGTCGTGTACACAACTCATACACAAACCAGATAACAAAAAAAATACCAACGGTACATATGGGTTGTTGCTATATACAAATAATAGCTTAGTTACATAAATTCATCGAAAGGTGTAATCAAATTAAATATGAGCGAACTGAAGTTTATGTGGAGAAGGCACTACAAACAAGTTCAAAGCACGCAGAACTTGTTCTTCAGCTTCCAAAGCGTTTCGTGTTTGATCGCACGGCAATAGAAGGGAAACATAATAGGTTAGCAGCATCATATATGGTAATTTTTATTTCGTTACACCAATACCCTCTCCCTAATGAGACACTGTTCTCAGTTCAGTCAGTGCCTTTGTAGTGAATGAGAACACAGGTGGGGCAACCGAATTGTATTTAGCGAAAATTACAGAGTTACTCAGTAAAATCGGAAAACCATATCGTAAATCGTTCATTTGCAAAAGATCAGTTCATCCTATGGAACTGGACTGTTCCTGTTGCAAAACATCAATCCATTGTCACTATTCATGCGTTTGATACAAATTCCATTGTTTTCTAACTCTTCCTTTCTTGATCTTCCCCCCATATTATGCTACCAGACTTTACGTTGACACTCACGTCATATACTACTTATAACTAGTTCGCACCACAGCACCACACCTTATATAGAGTAGTGTCCTATAGATGTGATAATACCATTCATTATTCATGCATAGAACATTTTTGGATTAACGAATTCTTAGATATTGTTATTTTCTTTTCGATATAATCAAAAAAAGGCAAGCTGAAATGTTAACATATACAAAAGGTGAACAATTATATAAATATATTGATGAATTAAATTTGGAAGAATCAGAAGTCCGCCTGTTACAACAAAATTTAGACAGAGTACATGAAGCTTTATTAAAAGAACAAGGTGCAGCAGCTGCGTTGAAAAAGTCGAATAAAGTAAGTTTTAGGATTGTATAAAAATATGAAAATATATAATTAACTGATGTTATATTTACTCTGAGTCAATTAAAAACGACAACATTACATTGAATACACTCTATTTGCACATCATCTTTGAGTCGTCATCCTTTTTCCATTCCTGTTGTTGCTTCCTTTCCTTCCTCTGTTGGTACTCCATTTACTGCTTGCTTTTGCTCCATTTGTTTTTCGTTTTCCTCTTCTGACCGTGAGACTTATTCTTTCACGTCCCACTTCTTATACTACTTATATCGTTCGTATGAGTAGCACACACCAAAATATGTATGAATGAATGAATGGATACTAGATGTTTAATGATAATTATAAAATCAGTTTTCATCATGAGGTTTCATTTTTTTTTCTTACAATCTCTAGGTAATATATTTTGAGTTTTCTTAATTACTTTTTCTGGATAGTTTCTTTAAAGCAAATCTGTTTTCCAAAAAACAAATTTTCATTGTTACTTAATCAAGAAAATTACTATCAAATATTGTTTCCATCGTTGAAATCAAGTTCTAAATCGTATACTCATTTCGATGTTGCGATTATTCAGTGAAAAGTCTGTTAATTTGCCTAGGAAATTTATCAAGCCTTTTGTTAGGATATTCATCCACCAAATATCCTATGAAGAATCATTTAGTAAGCGTGAATTACATTGGTCAATATTATGGTCGTCCTAGATATCAATGTCACGTACTTCAATGTTGTTTCTCATTGGTTGTCCTGACTATCCATGTCACTTCAAATGATTTTTCCTTAACTGTCACTGTCATGGACTTCGATGCTGTTTCCTATTCGACCTAAATGCATAAATACGCATCGCCTGCAACTTTTTAGGACCCTGACCCGGATTCTCAGTATGGGATCCTGATTCTCTTCTGGAGTCGGGCCTCGTACTACCTGGAAGTTTGTAGAATACAGGTTCTACTTCATATCAAGTCTTCTTCTTTCACTCAATGGGGGGTTGGGACACTCGAATTAGAGTAGCATGTCGTGTCACCGGATCCTCGATCCTCACTCTCGTTTTCCGACTAAGGTAAACTCGTAATAGTTAAAGCATATCAATGACATGTTTACGTGCATTCGTAACAATTCGCGACGGGGATAGGATCACATTGATCCTTCGAGACGAATTATTTGTTATGCCTGCACGTAAACACGTCAACTTGATATATTTGAAGTATTACGAGTTTACCCAGTCGGAAAACGAGAGCCAGGATCGAGGATTCGGTGACACGACATGCTACACAAATCCGATTATCCCAACCCCCATATTTAGTAAAAAATACGAAGGCGTAATATGAAGTAGAACATGTATTCTACAATCATCCAGAAGGTGCGAGATCCGAATCCAGAAGAGAATCAGGATCCCGGACTAGGGACCTGGGACCGAGCCCTGGTCCTGGTCGTGGTCGTAAAATGTTACAGATAATGCGTATTTGTACAGTATCGAATTCTGTGGCACTGACAGTTAAGACAACCGATAGGAAGTAACATTGGAAGTGACATTGACAGTCCGGATGACCAATAACAGACAACATTAAAGTATTTGACTTTGATAGTTAAAACGACCATAATTTTGACCAATAGAGATCGACCAATAGGATTTGACCAATAACTCTCTTAGGATATTGGATGAATATCCTAACATTATTACCCGAGCAGCAGATGAACTAATGAAGATGTTGATGGATACCAAGCTGCATCGTGGCACGACTATGGTGGCTAAAGTCAATCTTACGTTGTGTATTACATCTGTAACTGTGCCCTCTGATAATCCCTATCCACTTCACTTCAGCTCAGTCCAACAGCCGATCTAAAATTACTCGGCTAGATTGGTTCAAACAGCTAAAATTAGCAGATGTCCCATCAAGTATATAAGAGGAAGCCAATCCATTCATAAATACCCAAGACTGGTCCTTATCTCTGTTCTATAAATATCCTTCCCGACAAAAGCAAACAACAGTCCCGATCCAAATAAACCGTTGTGAGTCGTTTCCATTTCTTCACAGGGAGGTGTTAGGACATTCACCAAATATGACATGACATGTTTACATTCATGTGTAACATCTTTTCATCTGGTTAAAAATATTCTTCATGTAAAACCATATGGTATTACCTCAAAAATCTCCTCATTAATTATAACTGAACGTAATGATATAAATACATGATTCTGTTATTCATTTTACATTCTACACTATATCTTCTTTTTAATTCTTTCTAACACAATTTCAGCTTCATAAATCTGAACGTAAAAATCAACTAGATTTCAGAGAGAATCACCATAGAAAAGAATCTGTCAGTATTCATCAGGTAAATAAATATTCATCTAAATTATCAATTTTCAAATTTAATTTATATAATACACTCAAAGAATATTAACATAAACCGGTAGTAGAGTTTAATCGTGTCAGATGTAAATATCAGTCAACTGTCCGGATATATTGCATACTGTTCATAGGAGTATGGGTCGATTGAGTGAATTTTCGATTTTGTCACATTGTTGTAAGCCGCGCGAATCAGTCAATGTTCAAGAAATCATACGATAACCTTTGTCCTTACATAACGTCAGTGATATGCACTTTTTCTATGTTAATCAAGATACCGGCGAGTTCAATGATAGTATTGATATTTCTATTAGCAGATATTTAAGTATTAAAGATGGCATGACTAGTATGAAGGAAAAATCAGGACGTATTATTAATACATACAGATTTGGTGGACTTTCGCCAGTTTTGAACTAATAAACTTATCATTTCTGCCAAATCATTACATTCACTGTAAGACTTGAATTGTCGAATTCTATCAAATGTTTCCTGAATCATTGTTGATTCGATGAATGTGTGTAAAAATGAAATAAACGATTTATTTAAATCTATCGATTTATCGATTTATATGATCTTTATCCTGTTTCCGATAGCATTCAAGATCACCTTCATTTGTCAGATCAATGAGGACAATTATGCCACCGAAGAAATAAAACTTATCAATGCGACAATGAACATACTGACCCAGGTAATCAGATGATGTGGTTGGCCTATGTGTGTCTACAATTTTGTACACTTTGGAGCTTATATATCACGCTGTGGATCGATATTTTTTATACGAATTGTGTGGTTAACTGCCTACTTCATTGAAGCTAGCACCATTTTGTAATTGTTGATGCATTCATGTGTATCGAGAATATGACCGAAGGTCCTATGTTCGAATCCTGCGAAGTGCGAGATTCTTGGATACTCACTAGCACTGATGAGTCCCATACGAGGACGAAACGGCCGTATCCGATGCTTCTAGGTTTCTTCTGATGGGGATATAACATTGATCGATTCATGATTTCAAATGGACAAATTAGCAGTTTTAGTCTGTGAAAAAAATCTTTTGGATGCCGAAATGTGTTTTATATTTGAAGAATATAAAACATATATCAGTGATCGTCGCTACTTTACCAGTCAATTTCGGATTTTCACTTGTTCATTTATTGCTTAGTAACCTGCATTCATCATGGTAGGCGGTGGTCATTGATGTGTCACTGACTATGTTTGACTAAGGCTTGTAGTTAGACTCATGATTCTTACCTTACAATTCCTGAATTGGTAGTTCTGACTTACGCTTGTATTGGCTTGATGAAACCTGTGATCAGACGCTGGTAGTCTACACGCTCCTTCTAGTCTCAGGCGAATACTTTGACTAAACTGCATACAGAGCACATTTTATGAGATAATGAAGTCAACAATTTCAGGGTTTATTCAGTCAACCAGAAATGAATTATATCGTGAAATAGTATTGATATCGTATTAATATAACTGAACTTAGTAAACTAAACATCGACGTATTGATTGTGAAACTGATTGTCATTCACTTCATTGGGATTATGGATTTGAACCCAGTCTCACCTATGTTAATTAGTTAAAACATTCGATTGACTTCATTACGGAGTTGTGAAGATTGTTAAGTTACACATCTTGGAACTCTAAATCGATCAATGTCAGACCACCATTAGCAGAAACCTGGAAGCGTTGGTCGGCCGTTTCATCCTGGTATGGGACTTCTCAGCAGTGCACATCCACGACTCCTGCACTTCCGAAGGATTCGAAACCAGGACCTTCGGTCTTTTGCGCTCGCGCTAAACCTTCGGTATCCAACGGTGTTAATGTCTAACTTTTATCAATTCACAGAGTTGCTCAACCTCATACTCAGTCTTTGGTAGTTACTGTCTACACCCGAACAGGTTGAACTTCACTGGTCACGACTTCCCCACTAGAACTTGGAGAAGATTCCTCACGGAGCTAGTCACTAGTGAGCACAGGTAATTAATTGCATTACGGGGTTGTGAAGATTATTAGATTACACATTTTGAAACCATGAACTATCCAGTGCTTCCAGGTTTCTATTCGATTAATTAACGAACTTCTTAACAAAATATGCCATAAAACGTTTCCTCACATTCCTGCTAACATAGTTTATGTTATATATATTAAGACCTGGTTTCATTTCTGACCATTATTTCTTATCTCCCATCCTATACAAACCAAGGACAATGTCGGAGAGAATCTATCTATTCAGCAGAAGTTAAAAAGAAAAGATTTATGATATTGGCCCACCAAAAGCTAACTACATCCAAGTGATATCGCAGCTCCATATCACACACATGTAATAAGATCATGAGAAGGTGAACATAAATGAAAGAAGTATACGAAGTTGAAATCATACATACATACAGTATGTGACCTATTGCTGAACTATTTCCTGGTTTACAGGAGAAAAACAAAATATCAAGAAGACGAAACGATGCATCATATAAACTTAGAGTGTTGTAAATGAACTAACTACTTGTCAAATAGGCGAATAAATTACGACTTCGTCTAACAAATATGCTAATAACTATTGTTGTATACATTGTATTTTTTTTCTCATATTCTCCAATTTAAAACTTATTCTACTATTGATCATGTGTTATAAATGACCTAATAAATGTGGTTATACAGACAAGCGAAAAGAACGATCTGTTCTTATTTTTTTCTACTGGGAAATAAAATAATGGCTAGTTAGATATTTAGATGAAATCGTAATAATAACAATGATATATATTGATTCTGAAATAACAGTTAGTTATAAGAGGCATGCCAGTTTATAGGCTAGATCAAATTGTCATAAATGATACCGCATTTATTGCAAAAGTAGTTATCGCAGTTAAATTAAGTAAACGAATCACTGACGGGAACAGTAGATGAGTATAAATAGGGAAGATGCACAGTAGGGTTCTTGGTTGGTTTGATTAGATCAATAGTGAATTTGTTGGGAAAGGTCAACTGGAAAGCTTTGCGACCTAGACGTGCGCGTACATAAGGTTCATGTTGCTTAGAGGCACCATGGATGTTCCGCTCTAAAATAGTATTCTGAAAAGGGGGAAAAGAGAGGATAAAAAGGCAGGAACGAGGCAATGTGTTTATACTTAACCAAAGCACTGCTTAACATGTCATTTAAAAGAACCTAGATAACTTGATTAAAAATAGTTATGAGATACGTGCCTGCATGGCTTTTTAGTCGGATAAATATACTTTGAATATATAATACGATATTTAGTAACAATATATACTTCTGCGTGTGTCATGATTGCAGGTGATTACTAACTGTGGAGAGTAATAATCTCTATATTGGTTATTTAACAATCTCTGATACAGTCAGTCAGTCAGATGCAACGTAGAACTTCGTACATAAGTACATCAGTTCATGTTGCCATACCACATTAGCACAGAGATGTAATCGTCAATTCAAATCCAATAGTGGTAGAGGTAGTAAGGGAATTAGAAGTAATCGGAGAGGTTAGGATTAGATATTATTCAACAAGTATGATTCAATCAGAAAAGTTTAGAAAGTCAAAACTAGAGTTGTTGAAGAATCCAGAAGATTAGAATTTGAGAGAACACAAAGAATGAATGCACCGGCGCCATTGCGAACGATTTTGAGCCATGTCATTCAAGGTCTCTAACCATCGATTATTATCATCTCGTGGACTCCAACCAGGTAGCCTACATCTACTGATATGATACAGTCCACTTGTCAATGACTTCATGGATTTCTGCCATGTTTTGGTTTGGCCGCTCCTAACTTTCTTCCAACCTATTCCTACACTACAAAACAATACTCGACGAGGCAGTCAGTTGTTAGGCATACGTAACACATGTCCTAATCACCTCAACTGATGAAGTTTCACTACTTCATCTATTGATTTTCCATCCCTACCTAGAACTAGTTTCCTAACGAAAGCATTGCTTACTTGGTTGTCCAATCTCTGATACAACATAATACAAATCATTCCTGTTGCAAGAGATAGACAGAGCAAGCATTAATAAATAACGTCAACCTTACGGACTGCTGAGGTCACTTCTTTCACACGCATTTTTGTAATTGTTCATTATTGTTCTGTCGTTAGACATTTGTTTAGGTAGTGACTAAAAGTGAAGCAAGACATGGAATATATATTGGTTTGTGAAGAGCATGGTTAATCGTGCCCAAAATATCAACAACGACGTTAAAATTAACTTAGAAATTAATTGTGTTCAGATCACTTGATTTGACATATTTAGGACAATGTGATTTTGAAATATGACATGCCAGCCTTTAGGTTATGTATGCTTCATATAATCGTAAATGTAGAATGTATTCAATGTTGAAATTGTTATGTTGAAAATTTCGGTGAGTTTGAAACGGTTTTAACATAAAACAAACAATTCGTAGGATGGTTGTGTAGTGGCGATTGAGTCACGATTGACTTCGATCACCTTTACAGCAATTACCAGCCCGTCACCGAAAAGAAGACATTTTCCATTTTAAAGAATATATATGCGTTTTCGTGGTTTTGAAAGAACACCGAAATCGTGCCAGAAAACATAAGCTAAATTACAGTGGAACTAAAATGGCGCAATACAAGCAGGAAGTTTGCGCTCACAAAATTGTAACAGACAAAAAGTACAGTTAAACAATCACTGGTAAAATTGGTTATAATAATGGATGTTTCTATTAAAACTGTACGGTGGATCCGTAAAAGAAGTTGAATAAAATGTAATAACTGCAGATCAACTCCGACTAGAGACCCCCCTGGGGCTACTGCTGGTCCAAAGCCCTGATAAAGTAGGGCACACTTATGGACTTGGCTATTCTGATGTGATACCCAAATGTAAAGGTTGGAATGGACAACACTGAGTATGCACACATCCCTGGACTGAGAGAAAGGAACGAAAGTAGTGAGAGGTTTGCAAACATGTATACCTTCAACGAATTGGTAACAGACGGCACCACATTCCCACATAAACGTATAAAAAATCTACATGAATTTCACCGAATCGAACGATACCGAACTAAAAGGACTATATCTGTATCGGTAGAAATTTCAGAAGGATCATGGAGGGTGTGAGAATCGAGAAAGCTGATATAGCCTCAGATCACCACTGGCTGGTCTTCAAGGTGAGTCTGAAATTCAAACAACACTGGAAAACGGGGCCGACAACATCACAAAAGTTTGATACTGCCTTTTTTCTGGATACCGACATGCTCAAAGAATTCAGGAGAGCTGTTGGCAACAGGTTGCAAGCCTCTCAAGAACTACTCAATTGAGAGGTAACTACCATGAAGAACAATCGGAAAGGAATCAAGTAAGCAATTACTTCAGCATGTAACGAGGTTCGGAGCCTCAAGCAACACCATCGCTAGTAGTTGGGCACTATGGATACATGGGATAAAATCCAGGAAAGGAAAGACAAGAAGGCAGCAATCAATATTAGTTGCACAAGAAAAGAGAAAACGAAGTCACAGTCTCAATAACATAGAAAAAAATCAAATGGGAAGGAGCGTCAGGTCCGAAGAGCCCTAAATTGTGGAAAATCTAGCAATGAAAGCCACAACAGAAGGAAACATCAGACAGTTGTATGATTCAACAAAGAAGCTCGCTGGAAACCATCGTAAACCAGAACGATCAGTGAAGTGCTAGGAAGGCAAATTAATCGTTGACACTCAGAAAAATCAAAACAGGTAGGAAAAGCATTAAAAGGAACTCTTGAATCGACCAGCTCCACTGAAACCACCGGACATCGAAGCAGCATCCACATACCTCACAGTCAATGTTTATCGTTATTTCCATAACTAACAAATCAAGTCGTGGTTTGAACGCCCACCAAATGACCTGATCTGACGTGTCTGTAAGCTTTCTTTTTTTGTAAATGACCTACTAATTGACGGACATTATTATCTAATTATATTGGTGTAACACATAATTTTACTCATTTCCACGAGACACACGATATTGATCGGTATGTTTGTTCGTTTCACTTGATAACTGTAATTTCCTTAATTATTGTGCCAATCTAATATTTTTATAATTGGAAACAGATCAAGTTTAAAGCAGAAGTTGTCCTTCTTCTGACTATAGCTTTCCCAACGACTCTATATTCTGCACCATTGCGTTTACAGTTCTAGAAGTACATCTGTAGGATGAATTAAATCCTACAATGTTGACCAATCAACAAGGGGAGAAATCCTTATGGTCAACAGAAAACCCAACAGCGGCAAAGTAGCAGGACCAGACAACATTCCAGCAGAGGCAATGAAAGCATACGTGGATGCAACTGCAAAAACATATCACACTCTCTTCAGCGAGATTTGGGATGAGAAACAAGTACTATCAGACTGGAAAGAAGGACACCTCATCAAAATGCCACGTATGAGAACTACAGAGGCATCCCTCCTCTCTCTATGCCAGGCGAAGAATGAAGGACTTCGTAGACGTCCAACTTGGGGATCAACAGGCTGGACTTCATAAGGATCGATCGTGTACTGACCAAATCGCTACAGATCATTTTGGAACAATCAATTGAATGGAACTCACCACTCTACATCAACTTCGTCGACTACGAGAAAGCATTTGATAGCGTGGATAGGAAAACACTGGAGGCTTCTTCGACACAACGGTGTGCCTGAGAAAATAGTTAGCATCATACAGAATTCTTATGATGGATTCAACTGAAAAATTGTACACGGAGGACAGCTAATAGACTCTTTCGAGGTGAAGACCTGTGTCAGGCAAGGTTGCTTACTCTCACTCTTTCTCTTTCTCGTTGTGGTCGACTGGATTATAAAGACGTCAACATCTGGAGGGAAGCGCGGTATCAACTGGACAGTTAGGACTCAGCTGGACGATCTGGACTTCGCAGATGACCTAGCTCTTCTATCACACACGCAACAACAAATGCAAGAGAAGATGATTAGTGTAGCAGCAGCCTCTG